CCGCCTCAAACAAGCAAATTTACGAGTTAATTCAAAGAAATGTCAATTCTTAGCAAAGAAATTACAGTACTTAGGATATATAGTAAGCATGGACGGTATCAGCCCTAACCCTACTAACGTCGAGAAGATAACAAATATGCCTGAACCAAAGACACTAAAACACGTGCGACGCTTCCTGGGATTATGTAATTATTATCGATGTTTGATTAAAGACTTCGCAAAGATAGCTAAACCAATAACGGATTTATTAAAAAAGACAATCGCTGCAAAGGTCATCAAAATTAATTGGACACATGAATGTGATATTGCATTTAATAAATTAAAAGAAAAATTATCTACCTACCCAGTTGTTGGTCATTATAAGCCTGATGAGCCAATAATCCTCTACACCGACGCTAGTAAATATTCTGCCGGATGGGTTCTACATCAATTACAGAACGGTATTGAAAGAGTATTATTATACGGAAGTTACAAATTTAGCCCGAGAGAACAGAACTATTGTGTCACGGATCAAGAGGCCCTAGCGCTAGTAAAAGGCATCAGAGCCGTACAACAATACATTAACAACGCCCCATTTACCGTTCGTGTAGATCATCATAGCCTATCTTTTCTCACAACAATGAAGAATCTTAACGGAAGACTCGGAAGATACGCTTTGGAAATACAACACTTAATCCCCAACTTACGCATAGAATATAAATCTGGGTCACTTCACAAGAACAGCGACTGTATGTCAAGACTTCCGATAATAGAACAAGAGTTAATCGATAGTAAAGCCATTAAGCCATCAAAAGCTAAATGTATTTCAATTGCACTGTGCAAGTCTAAGGAATGTATATTAAACGATATGGAGCGTGCAAGAGAGGAACTGATGCATTTTTCAGATATCAAATCGTTTGAGTATTTTGGGTGGGAATTCACTCTAAACAGTTTAACAAATGTCAAAACTGTTAAAATACACAATAATCAAATAACAGAGTCTAACGCTCAAGAATTAATAAACACCCGCGAAGAACAGCTAAAAGATCCTTGGACTCGGTCTCTCATCGAATCATTGGAAAGAAACGAATTAGAAACACAAAAAAGACATGTACTCATTGATGGATGCGTTTACCGAATATTCTATTTTGAGGGACACCCTGTTTATTTGTTTTGCCTACCGAAACACTTGAGAGAATTAGTTCTTTCCGATTTACACGGATCACTTACATCTGGACATATGGGAAGAGATCGTACTATGAGTGAAGTTTACCGTCGATTCTATTGGCCAGAAAGAAAGAAAATGTGGATAAATTCGTAAGGAGCTGTAATTGTTGCCAACGACGTAAACATGAGACAACATATCCGAGAGGATTACTACATTCAATCTCTATTGAACACCCAATGGACCTCATAGGCATGGATCTGGTCGGACCGTTACCCCGTAGCAATGACTATCGTTATCTCATTGTTGCCGTCGACTATGCTACACGATTTGTAATTCTGGGAAAAATCAAAGATAGGCAACCACAAGGAATAGCTGAGTTCTTTATAAAGCAAATTTGTTTAAGATTTGGTTGTCCAAGACGAATATTGACTGACCAAGCAAGGGAATTAATATCACAAGCAATGGAAGTAGTATTTCTAAGCTTTCAAACACAACACAGTCTATGTGCACCTTACAAGCCATCAACACAAGGACTAGTAGAGAGAACAAACAGGACAATAATAAACTCTCTCTCATTATATTGTCATAGCAATCAAGATAACTGGTCATCAGTCATTCCGTACATAGAGTTTGCCATTAACGCCTCCACCCAATCTTCTACGGGAAAATCACCATTTTATTTGATGCACGGTTTTCATGTTCGTAAACCTATAGATGTTGCCTTTGGTCTACCATTTGACCCCCCCAAACAAACAACTGGCGACTATTTAGCCGACGCCCGAGAAGTTGCTAGAGAGTTTCTAAAGTCAGCTCAGGACAAACAAAAATTCTATTACGATCAAAAACGAAGTCCACAATTTTTCGCTATCGGAGACACGGTTGGACGATACAAACTTTTACGACAAAAGGGGGTCAACACTAAAATGCAGTTAAAATATTTTGGACCGTATAAAGTGGTCAAAATACACGGTGACCCACCAAACAACTATACTATTGAAAGTCTTTCAGACCCAAGAGAAAGATCTAAAGTCCCCATAGAACAACTTAAATCATGGTATTTAAGAGAACCTATCGAAACAGAATATTTTGAAGAAAATAATAGCCCAAATAGCATAAAGCCCAGATTATGTAATCGATCGGGGACCGATCTCGAGGTCAGGATGCCAGTAAAGTAGTTTCAAAAATAGTTTCTATTTTGAAATAAACTATTTTTACAAAAATAACTTCAGTATACACGCAATAGACATAACATTACGCAAACAGCATACCATTCCTTGAATGGTATGAATGTATGAAACCCCACCCGTACTGGTTGTCCAACAAAACTGTTTGACTCACAAGTTCCCGATCGAGTCGGTTGTTAACAGTGTATGAGTGAACATCAGAAAAGTGTTTTTATATCAGAATAAATGAATTTTAAAGACAAAAATATGTGTTTTCATTATTGATTTAATTTAAAATTAAATACAAATTTGATTGTTACTCCCGAACTGTTCTCAAGAGATAACAACAACAAAGAGCCGATCACTACTCCCGAACTGTTCTCAAGAGATAACAACAACAAAGAGCCGATCACTACTACCGAACTGTTCTCAAGAGATAACAACAACAAAGAGCCGATCACTACTACCGAACTGTTCTCAAGAGATAACAACAACAAAGAGTTGATCACTACTACCGAACTGTTCTCAAGAGATAACAACAACAAAGAGTCGATCACTACTACCGAACTGTTCTCAAGAGATAACAACAACAAAGAGTCGATCACTACTACCGAACTGTTCTCAAGAGATAACAACAACAAAGAGTCGATCACTACTACCGAACTGTTCTCAAGAGATAACAACAACAAAGAGTCGATCACTACCACCGAACTGTTCTCAAGAGATAACAACAACAAAGAGTTGATCACTACTACCGAACTGTTCTCAAGAGATAACAACAACAAAGAGTTGATCACTACTACCGAACTGTTCTCAAGAGATAACAACAACAAAGAGTCGATCACTACTACCGAACTGTTCTCAAGAGATAACAAAGAGGCGGTCCTAACCGTTTACCACAAATTTAACCGTAAGCCTAAATTAACATTTTAACTAAAATAGTTCAATACCCTTGAAGTAGTGGTACGCTACCCCTTTCGGTAGCCAATTACCGAATATACCCCAAAGTAGTGGTACGCTATCCCTTTCGATAGCCAATTACCGATTATACCCAAAGTAGTGGTACGCTATCCCTTTCGATAGCCAATTACCGATTATACCCAATGTAGTGGTACGCTATCTCTTTCAATAGCCAATTACCAACTATACACAGTAGTGGTACGCTATCTCTTTCAATCGCCTCCCTAGACCGTTACAATATCTATTAGACATATACTGTATATGAAAAAAACGTATAAAATTTATTTTTAAAACACTGATATCTCAATCAATATTATAGTTATGTAAACAACAAAAAAAATGTTGTATATATATTATTATCAGTATAAAATTTTTAGTTTAAGTTTATCATGATAATAATTTTTGATTTAACATTTTTTTAAAAAAAATATAGATTATTACATATTTTTTTTAAATATTTGTTACAAAAATTTTCTATTGATATATGTGTTAATTGCTTAAAAATTACATTTACTAATACAATTAAAAAACCAATTTTTTTTATATATCATAAATATACAACTTTATTAGATAAGTAAATATAAAGTTTAATATACTGTATATTATTTATGTGTTTAGTTATCAATTTAAAAAAAACTAATAAACACTAGTTGAGTCAGTTAAACATTTAAAAAAAATATATTTTACATTTAATTTATAAATTAAAAAGCTTATTACAGTATTATGATATACTTTAGTATTAAAATGATTATATATAATAATACATATGTAAATTGTTTATTTTATATATATATATTTAATATGTGTTTTGTTTAAATGTTTAAATCTATTACCAAAAATAAATAAATATTTTAATTCAATATATAAATACACAGAAAATAGAAATATTATTTTATATTAAATTAAATTTCTGTTTACACTTTGATTATTTGACTTGACATTTTTTTTGGTAAAATTTAATAATTTATTTTTATTTTAAATATTATGTATAGATATTTTAATATATGTACAGTATTTTATCAAATTGTATTGAATAATAAATAATTATTTATTTATTTTTTTTTGTTAAAATAGTAATAAAGTTTTAATATTTAAATACATTTTTTTAGTTAAAAATAATAATTACAGGTAAATAATTTTTACAGAAAAGTCAATAACAACAACAAAAAATAAAAATAATATTTTTAAATTGAAAATATCTTACATCAAAAATAATAATAATAATTAATATTGAATTTTTCAAAATTGAGTCGACAGTCGTTTGCTAGACTTTGAAGACCTTTTTGAACTACCAGTCCTTTTTGAACTACCAGTCCTTTCGGATTTATTTGTTGACAAAATTATTGGATCATTGGATTGTCTTTTATAATATAATATGCAATCAATGGTCAACAAAATCATTGCAATTATCAATAATACTGTCAATACTATCAGTTCAATGTTTAAATTGTTTTCATCGGGTTTTTCTGGTAATACATCAATAAAACAATCCCTTAGAAGTGGTTTCAAGTTTTCAATTTTACACTAAATAAATAATTAAGTTAAATAAAATGATTATAATTATAATTATAATTATTAATAATTTCTATGATATTTAATAATAATAATTTACGGTTTCATTTAAATGGTGATCCTGTAGTTGCCAGCAATACATTGGCTGATTATTGATAAGAAAAATCAATAGATAATAATAATCGTTGCCATCGTCGGCAACATAGTCGACAATACTTTCAAGACGATTGTGTAGCCAAGGTATGAGCTGATCCAAGAATACCGGTGACCGACAACTGTTTTTATCACCAATCGGACATTGATTACAGCTTATAAATGACAAATTCACAACATATGTCAGCGGTTTGGCAAACTCTATGGCAATCAATTTCCGACATTTATCGTATTTATTGTAAACCATATGATATTTATATATTTTATCAAATGTCAATGTTTGGTAAACTCGTGGACTGATTAATATCATATTATCACTACTACTACTACTACTACTGCCACTACTATCAATATTGTAGTCCATGTAATATGTTTTTTGTTTTATATCATCGGAGGGATTATCGACAGCAATACAATCGATATTATAAGAGCCTTTGTTTGCCTATAATATTAAATATAATTAGGTTAATAATGGGATTACCACCCACCCCATCCACCCCACTCACCCCACTGATTGTAGTAGTATTAGATGTAATATCGCAATAGTATATGCTAGGCTTTTCTAACATTGTTCCCGAAACGCCTGTTAATGATAAACCAGAAAATCTATTGACAATCGGTTTGTCTATCGATTTGAATGTCGACTTATTTACCGATATAGTCATGTCCTGTCTATCGACCATCAAATGCCATTCATGTATAACCTTGTATTCACTAACTTTTGTATACAATACTAATCTACTTAAATGTTTGGTATGGTTGTCAACAGTTTCAATTGAATACCACTGTCTGTATATACGACTACCCAGGTATTCGCCATTAGGTGCAACCGATTTGCACACTGAACTGATTGAACAATTGATTTCATACAGTGATAATAATAGCTTAATCAGTATAACAGTTGATAATAGTTGTAGACAATTGATAAACATTTTTTGTTGTTGTATTAGTATTATTACCAATTGTTTTGATTAACTAATAACTTTTTTTTTTGAATATATATTTGAATTACTTTTGACACAAATAAAACAAATTGTAAAATAACTGAAAACAACAAATAATTTCCGTTATATAATAAACATGAAATTTTAACGATTTAATTTTGATTAATTAATTAATTGTTAGTTACATCTATTTAATCATTTAATATCAAATAAATATTAGAAACTAATTAACAATTAGTGATTTACGAGACAATTAGTTGAGACAACATCAACAAAATATATTAAACAAATTTGAATGAATTTAACATATATAATATATATACAGTATAATTGTTAAACATATAGTTGATCTTATATATATATATATATATATAGACAATAAATATTGTACATAAATGTCTGGGAAATCATTTAACTGGTGTTTAACTGGTTTACTAATAAAATCCTATCATTTGGTACAATATCATCGGCACATATGTCGACACCAATTGACGCCAACAACTAAAACAACAACAATTAGAAAATCATTGACATTACGGCCATTAACTGACTGGCATTTTGGCAAACTGTTTGACACCAACAGTCGTTGTTGTCGTTTTCGATGCGCCCATCAGTTGTCGACAACAATTGACCAGATTGTCGACAAATCCATGTCACAGATAGTGCAACTGTTAGTCCAACAGATCAGTGGTACCGGTTGTGTTGTCTACAATTATGACGGTATTGTGATTAGCTGTGCTCATGTAGTTGAAGACCAGCGCGACGCTATGGTATTGTTCGATCTGATTGGTTTTGGACAGGGATGGCGATGGGCACGGGTGCTCTATGTCGAGCCGTATAGCGATCTGGCAATTTTGCAGATCACTTATTGTATTAGTTTAGGCGATCAGCTGTCGAATGAATTAAATAATTTCGATATCTGTGCCGAAACTGTCGACTTTGGCGACAATATTGTCTGTTTAGGATATCCTGATATACACAGACTGTCAGTAACTACCGGTTATATAACTTGTCCGCAATCTGTACTATCCGATGAATTAAATGTATATGCACTGATGGCCAGTGGCCACATTGAACACCGAAGCGGTGCAACCTATGGTTATTCTGGTGGACCAGTTATCAATGAAAACGGACAGTTGGTTGGCATACATCACAGTTTATCCGAATTGTTTAGACTACGAGCCACTCCAAGCACTATAATTTACGGTAAACTACTACTACTACTACTACTAATACTACTATTAATAAATTATTTGTTTTTATATTTTATTTAAATTAACACTTATAATAACTACAATCAAACTACCTACCCCCACCCCCACACACATAAAAGAGTGTATGAATAATGGCATTCAATTCATTAATGAACAGGTATTTAAAAAGCACTTTTAGTTCAATAAAATATTAGTTTTCTTATTTTTAATATATATATATATATATATATATATATATATATATATATACACTAAACATTTTCAGAACAAACTCGGTACTTTTTTATTTATGTTACTTATGTTTTTTATGCTACATTTGATAATTATAAAAGATACCATATTGTCATGTGTTGTTTAAAAAAATGCGACATCATTTATGTAATTATATAATTATTTAATAGAGATATAGTTACACAAAAAACATATGTAATATACATAAAAAGGGCCCGAGTCTTCGGTAGATCATAATCCGTGTATATATATATATATATATATATATTTATACACATTTTTAAAATTAATTAATTTTAAACAAATATATATATATATTTCACTACAGCTGGCAATCAAACTTAACGATAAACATGATGTTAGTCGTAGGCATACATTTGATGGCCAACCGTTTGGACGCCAACTGGGACTTGAAATTTGTTGGTATAATTCAGCAAATATTAAGTACTATAAAAAACATATCCTTTTGGATGGACGCCGATTGCGATCAAGGCATGTCTACCTGAATGGAAACGGTATATTTGTTTATCAATTTTTCAACCATACACAGGGAAAGTAAGTTATTAATATAATTGTTTTTTTCTTCTCGTTTTTAATGGCATTGTTATTGTTTGTTTAGTAAATTATTAAAAGATTTTGACGTAATCATCAAAATCAATGACAGACCAGTCGAGTCTATTCATGATCTGAGTCGAGCACTGGTAATGATGGCCAGTAGTAGTGGTGGTGATAGCAGTGGTAACACTATCCGGTTGACTATCATTAGGAAAGGTAGAGATACTAAAGAAATCAGTATAAGTGGCCAACAAGTGATGAATGGTTTTAGTTTTATTTAATTTATATAATAAATGTAATTAAATAATTACATATATTTACTATTTTTATCTTGAAATTGAAATTTATATTTAAATAAGTTTTGTTATTATTAGTTGTATTCAAATGTAAAAATAATAAAAAGTATTTATTACAATATTAAATAAATTTTATAATCAAAACAATTATATTAAAACTATTGAAGTAACAACTCTGTAAATTAAAATTATGTAAAAGTTTTTTACTCAAATGTAAAAGTTATAAATTGTTTTTATAATTTTTTACATTTGAATGAAAACAGTTATATTAAAACTATTGAAGAAACAATTCTTTAAATTAAAATTATGTAAAAGTTTTTTTATTCAAATGTAAAAGTTATAAATAGTTTTTATAATTTTTACATTTTAATGAAAACAGTTATATTAAAACTATTGAAGAAACAATTCTTTAAATTAAAATTATGTAAAAGTTTTTTTTATTCAAATGTAAAAGTTATAAATTGTTTTTATAATTTTTACATTTGAATGAAAACACTTATATTAAAATTATTGTAGAAACAAATCGTTTAATTGAAAATTTAATCATTTTGGATAATAATTTTACATTTGAAAAAGTCCCATAGTCAAAAGAACTGTTTAAAGTTGTTTTAAGTTAACATTTGGTTGTTTATACAATGGGACTTTTTCAAATGCAAAAATTTTCAGTTTGTATTAAAATATAACAATACATTTTTAGATTTGAATTAAAATATGATTGTTGATGAAATGTGCACCCATACATATAGAACTATTATCTTAAAGTGTTATCTTGATGTAAACGCAAACAATTACTTTTAGCTCAATACAGTAGTATAATATTTAACTTTTAAATTCAAACATATAAGCTAACTATTATTTTTTTTAAAAAAAATCAAATCAATTTACTTTTATATAATTGAGTTTTTACATTTATAAAACTTTTTATTGTTGTTGAACATACTCTGTCATTATAGACTAATGTAATATACTGTACCCCAAAAAAAATAAATGTCATCACAAATGTTTAACTGGTGTTTAACTGGTTTACTAATAAAATCCTATCATTTAGTACAATATCATCGGCACATATGTCGACACCAATTGATGCCAACGACTAAAACAACAACAATAACAACAACATCCTTAACATTACTGTCATTAGTTAACTGTTTTAGCAAACTGTTTGACGTCATCACTAACAACAGTCACTACCGTTTCCGATGCGCCCATCAGTTGTCGACAATTGACCAGATTGTCGACAAATCCATGTCAAAGACAGTACAACTATTAGTCGATCAGTCCATTGGTACCGGTTGTGTTGTATCCAGTTATGACGGTTTTGTGGTTACCTGTGCTCATGTGGTTGAGGACCAGCGCGACGCTATAGTATTGTACGATCTGACTGGTTATGGACAGGGATGGCGATGGGCACGGGTTGTCTACCTGGAGCCGCATCATGATCTGGCACTACTGGAAATCAGTTACGATAGTACTATAGGGGATCAGCTCTGGAATAAACTAAATAATTTCGATATCTGTCGCGAAACTGTCAACTTTGGCGACAATATTGTCTGTTTAGGATATCCTATGGACGACCGACTGTCAATAGCTACCGGTTATATAGCTTGTCCTCAACGCGTACAACCAAACCATATGGGATATATTTATGTACCGATGGACTGTAGTGACCAAATTGAAAACCGAATCGGTTTAACCTACGGTTTTTCGGGCGGTCCAGTTATCAATGAAAACGGACAGTTGGTTGGCATACATCACAGTACTTTCAATTTGTTTAGACATCTGAGCACTTCATCGACTATAGTTCCTGGTTTTTACTACTAATTTAATACTAAATTAATACTATTAATAATAATATTTTTTTAATTATTACTTTTTTAAAAAAAACTATACCATAAATTCATTGTCTATTCCCGAATAGAGCTTATGATAAATGCTAACAATTTCAGTAGGAAACAGGTATTTGTAGAAAATTTAATAGAAATTATAATATTAATTATGTTTTTTTTATTATTTAATTTTTTTATTATATAAATTAATTTGTCTCTTATCAGAGAAAACTCATACATAACGGTAAACGAGATGTTAGTCGTAGACGTAGACGACATACATTTGATGGCCAACCGTTTGGACGCCAACTGGGACTTGAAATTTGTTGGTATAATTCAGCTAATATTAAATACTATAAAAAACATTGCCGTTTGGATGGACGCCGATTGCGATCAAGGAATGTCTACCTGAATGGAAACGGTATATTTGTTTATCAATTTTTCAACGATACTCAGGGAAAGTGAGTTTTTTAAAAAAAAAAACTAATTTTATAATATGTTTTTTATTTTAGTAATTTTTTTTTTATTAATTGCAAACTATTAACTGACTAAAAATTGTTTGTTTTAGTATATATTTACACGATTTTGACGTAATCATCAAAATCAATGGCAAACCAGTCGAGTCTATTGACGATCTAAGCCGAGCACTGGTAATGATTGCCAGTAGTAGTGATGGTGATAGCGATGGTGACACTATCCGGTTGACTATCATTAGGAATGGTAGGGATATAGAGATCAGTATAAGTGGCGAACAACTGATGAATGGTTTTAGTTTTATTTAATTTTATATAATATTTTTTTTATAAATTTATTTAATGTAGATGCTATCATTAATAATATAAAAATGTAATTTTATTTAGTGTTATTTTTTTTGATTGAGATTTATATTTAACTGTTTAGTGTTGTTATAATTTTTTTATTAAAATAAAATAGTGTATTAAAGTATCGTATGTATACTGTATAATCCCTATAAGTATTTAAGATTTTATATTTGAGATACTAATTACTGTATAAAAATTATTATTATATAATAACAAAACAACTTTGATGTTGTGTTAAATTTAAATGACAAATATATATGAAATACATTATATAATTTTTAGATAACATTATTAGCATTTGTGGCATTACTTACCTTAGAGGGCTTCGTTTTTTATATTGCTTTTAAATTATAATATAAAAGCATTAAACTTATTTTTATATTTGGGTTAGTTTGGGGGTGAGTGGGGTAGGGTGTGGGAGGTTAGGAAGTGGTAGTGGGGTGGGTGGAGTTAGATAGTAGTGTGTTTAAGTAGAGGTGGTTTGGAGTAATATTATGATTTATATATTTTTTAGTTTCTAATGTGAATAGTATTCACTGAATACAATCGAGTGATTTCGATTCATTTTGATTCAAAATTAAATTCAAATATAAAGCAAACCAGTTGAGAATGCTAGAAAGCATTTCCACACGAATTCCTAATCATAATTAAAAATTAAATTCAGTATGATAAAATAAAATCAACTAAAGTTATGTAGGGTATCAAACGATTTAGTATGACAAAATAAACAACTATAGTCATGTGGGGTATCAAATGATTCAGTATTACAAAATAAACTACTATTTTCCTAAAAAATAAACTTAAAAACGAAAAAAATAAAAAAATCAATATTCAAAAAAATTCAAAAAAAAATTCAAAAAAATTCAAAATTTTTTTAATTAATTTTTGGACACAATTTTCTTCAATTTCCTAAAAAATAAACTTAAATAAGAAAAAAAACAAAAAAAAATTCAAAAAAAAATTTGTAGCGGATAGTGGATTCGAACCTATGTCCTCGTGGGACAGACAGACCGACAGACCGACAGACCGACAGACCGACAGACCGACAGACCGACAGACCGACAGACCGACAGACCGACAGACCGACAGACCGACAGACCGACAGACGACAGACCGACAGACCGACACCGACCGACAGACCGACAGACCGACAGACCGACAGACCGACAGACCGACTTATAGAATGCATATACGTATTCCTTTCAGGAATTCGTGAAAACAATTTAGTGATTCACGAGTAATTTAGTCAACAAATAATTTTATTTTTTTAAAAAATTCAAATCAATTTATTGTTTAACTGAAAGATCTATAACTGTCTAAACATTTTGTTGTTGTAGTCGTTGATGAACATACTATACGATTATAGTCCAAAGTTTGGACCATACTTAACATAAATGTCTCGACAAATGTTTAACTGGTGTTTAACTGGTTTACTAATAAAATCCTATCATCATATGGTGCGATATGATCATCGGTGTCGATACCAATTGCTAACAACAACATCAACAACGATCACTTCATCATTACCATCACCACCATCACCACCACCACCACCACTACTACCAGTATTAGCTAATAGTTTTGGCAAACTGTTTGGCGCCATTACCACCACTACCACCACCGCCATCATCACCAGTCGTTTGCGATGCGCTCATCAGTTGACAATCGGCCAGATTTATAGAGAAGCACTGGATCAGACAGTGATTATACAACTGAATGGCTATACCGATATTCCAACGAACGGTACCGGTTGTGTTGTCTTCGTAGAGAACGGTCTGGTCCTTACCTGTAGTCATGTTGTAGATGATATGCGTCAGTCTACTCTATACTTTAATATGTTGAAAACTAATACAGCTGGCAGTCGTCTGGCTCGGGTAGTATATGTAGAGCCGTACCACGATCTGGCACTTGTGAAGATACAATACACCAGAACTACAACCGATATACTCAAAGAAGGGCTGATGGCCTACGATCTTCAAACTACACCAACCGTCGAGTTTGGCGACGATATTATCTGTTTTGGTTATCCCACGGATGTCAAACTGACAATGACCACCGGCTGTACAGCTTGTCCTCAGTGTATACAACACGGCTTCAGAGAATCAGATTATGTTCCGATGGCCAGTGGACACCATGAAAGCCGAAGCGGTGCAACCAGTGGTTTCTCTGGTGGTCCAGTAGTCAATTTAGACGGAGAATTGATTGGCATAACTCACAGTTACTTTGACTATATTAGAAAACGGTCCGCTTTACGTACTAGTATTTATGGTATTTATTTCAATACTACTACTACTACTACTACTACTACTACTACTACTACTACTACTACTACTACTACTACTACTACTACTACTACTACTACTACTACTACTACTACTACTACTACTACTACTACTACTACTACTACTACTACTACTACTACTAATACTACTCCTACTACTACTACTACTACTACTAATTTATTTTTATATCACAGCTCCAGATAACACAGGATTTATAAGAAATGCCTTAAAATACGAAAATGAAAAGGTATTTAACAGTAACAGTATTACCACCAAAAAAATATTAGTTATGTTTTCTGTTAAACTAGTATTTTAAAATATATATATATATATTTTTTAATCTGTTCGGAAAATGTATGGAAAATATGGCATATATTTAAATTTAGTTGTAATTTTTATTTTAATTGTCAGATTGATTACAAAAATAATCGTAAACTTTATTTGTGTCAAAGTAATACACTGGACAGTCCATTAGGTGGACATCAACCATCGAAACCAAAACAAACAAAAAAACAAAAAGGACCTAAAGTTCAGGTGACTGATGAAATCTGGAACCAACGGCGCCGTCGACGACTGCAAATAGAGGTTTGTTGGTACAGTCTATATCATCGCAACGATTTTATGATACGAACTTATATGACTGGCCATCCATTGCCGGCAGCCAATGTCTATCTAAGAGGATACGGTATATTTGTTTATCGATATTTCAACAAAAGAGAGGGAAAGTAAGTGTTTTTTTTATATATATATACAGTATTTTAAATATGAAATTTTATAAATGGTTTTTTTAAATTATAATTATTTATTTTTTATGGGGAGCATTAGTTTAATATTAAATTTTGTTTGTTTTGTTTTTCAGTGCCGACAGTCTAATGGATTTTGACGTAATCAGAGAAATCAATGGCAAATCTGTGGAGACTATTGACGACCTAAGCTTAGCACTGGTAGCCAACAATACTATCCGATTAGCTATTGTTAGGTCTGATCAACAATTGGATATCAATATTAGTAGCGAAGAATTGACGGGTAATTTTAATTATATTTAATTAATTAGCTATTTGTTTGGTTGTAATTTTTTGTTGTTGAACATTATATTATTATTCAACAAAAAAAGTTTTTATCTATTATTTATCAATTGATTTATATTTTAAAATAAATGTTGTTATATTTAAATAAAATAGTGTACCAATACTGTATATAAATTTTTATATAATCTATTAAATATTATTTAAGATTTTATAAATAGTTATTATATGATTAACAACTTTGATGTTTGTTTTTTTTATTGTTTTCAAATAAATTTTTTCAATTTAAATGACAAGTATATATGAAATACATTATATATTTTTTAGATAACATTATTAGCATTTGTTTTCAAATAAATTTTTTCAAAATTAAGATTAAATTAAATTCAAATATAAAGCAAAAAAACAAATTTAGTGATTCACGAGTCATTTAGTCAACAAATTATTATTATTTTTAAATTCAAATCAATTTACTTGAATTGTTTACCTGAAAGATATATAACTGTCTAAACATTTTGTTGTTGTAGTCGTTGATGAACATACTATACGATTATAGTCCAAACCATACTTAACATAAATGTCTCGACAAATGTTTAACTGGTGTTTAACTGGTTTACTAATAAAATCCTATCATCATATGGTGCGATATGATCATCGGTGTCGATACCAATTGACAGCAACACCAACAACAACCACTTCATCATTACCATCACCACCAGCACCACTACTGCCAGTATTAGCTAATAGTTTTGGCAAACTGTTTGGCGCCATCACCACCACCACCGCCATCATCACCAGTCGTTTGCGATGCGCTCATCAGTTGACAATCGGCGAGATTTATAGAGATTCATTAGCACAGACAGTGATTCTGGTAGGAAATGACTATTCCGATATTCCAATACACGGTACCGGTTGTGTTGTATTCGTAGCGGACGGCCTGGTCCTTACCTGTGCTCATGTAGTACAAGATTTGCGTCAGTCTACTCTATACTATAATAGGTTGCCAAATGTTTGGCCGGGAAGTCGTCTGGCTCGGGTACTATATGTAGAGCCACACCACGAACTGGCACTATTGAGGATACAATACTTAAGAACTACCAGCGATCAGCTCAAAGTAGATCTGGTGGCCTACGATCTCCAATTCACACCAGCCATCGATTTTGGCGACGATATTATCTGTTTAGGTTATCCCACGGATAACCAACTGACAGTGACCACCGGCTGTACAGCTTGTCCTCATTGTATACAATACGACAACAGAGAATCAAATTGTGTTCCGATGGCCAGTGGACACTATGAAAGCCGAAGCGGTGTAAGCCCTGGTTTCTCTGGTGGTCCAGTAGTCGATTTAGACGGAGAATTGATTGGAATAAATCATTGTGTATTTGAATATATTAGAATACGGGCCGCTTCTCGTACTAGTATTTATGGTATATATTTCAATACTACTACTACTACTACTACTACTACTACTACTACTACTACTACTACTACTACTACTACTACTACTACTACTACTACTACTACTACTACTACTACTACTAATTTATTTTTATATCATAGCGCCGGATAACACAGGATTTATAAAAAATGCCATAAAGTATGATAAGGAAAAGGTATTTAACAGTAACAGTATTACCACACAAAAAATATTAGTTATATTTTCTGTTTATTATGATTTTAAAATTAATTTTTTTAATCCGTCCGGAAAATGTACGGAAAATAAGCCATTAATTTATTTTTTTTGTTATTTTTATTTTTCTAATTGTCAGATTGATTACAAAAATAATCGTAAACTTTATATGAGTCAAAGTTATACACTGGACAGTCCATTTGGTGGACATCAACCATCACCACCACCACCGGCAAAAAAAACAACCAAAAAACAAAAAGGACCTAAAGTTCAGGTGACTGATGAAATCTGGAACCAACGGCGCCGTCGACGACTGCAAATAGAGGTTTGTTGGTTCAGTCCATTTCATAGTACCGATTATATGAGACACAGTTATATAACTGGCCATCCATTGCCGGCAGCCAATATCAATCTAAGAGAATACGGTATATTTGTTTATCGATATTTCAACAAAAGACAGGGAAAGTAAGTGTTTTATATATACTGTATATATAAATATACAGTAAACTAATATATATACTGTATATATATTAATATATATATAGAGTATTTTGAATATGAAATTTTATAAATGGTTTTTTAAAAAATTAATTATTTTACGTGGCATTAGTTTAATATTAAACATTTTGTTGTTGTTATTGTTGTTTTCCAGTGCCGCCACTCTAATGGATTTTGACCTAATCAGAGAAATCAATGGCAAAACTGTGGAGACTGTTGACGACCTAAGCCTAGCACTGGTAGCCAACAAGAATATCCGATTGACTATTGCTAGGTCTGGTCAACATTTGATTATCTATATTAGTAGCGAAGAATTGATGGGTAATTTTAATTATATTTAATTAAATAGTTTTTTGTTGTTGAACATTATATTATTATTCAAAAAAAAAATTGTTTATCAATTATTTATCAATTGATTTATATTTTAAAATAAATGTTGTTTTTATTTAAATAAAATAGTGTACCAATATTGTATATAAATTTTTATATAATCTCCATAATTATATAAGATTTTATAAATAGTTATAAAAAATTATTATTATATGATTAACAACTTTGATGTTTGTTTTTTTTTGTGTTAAATTTTATTACAAATAATAATAGTATTTAATATATTCATTATTATATTTTTATGATAATATTTGATTTTAACTAAATTAAAAAAAATACAATTATTAGAATTATTATTAAAAGTAAAATTAAAAATCACATTAGATATAAACAATTAGTGACTATTACGAGCCGATAGTCCATAAAAAACTAGTTTTTTTATTTAAATCAATTCACATTCAATGAAATATACTTGAATTGTTTAACTGAAAAATATATAACTATCTAAACATTTTGTTGTTGTTATTGTCGTTGTCGTTGATGAACATACTATACGATTATAGTCCAAACCATACTTAACATAAATGTCTCGACAAATGTTTAACTTGTGTTTAACTGGTTTACTAATAAAATCCTATCATCCTATGATGCCATATGATGATCGGTGTCGATACCAATTGCCAGCAACACCAACAACCACTTCATCAGTACCATCACCACCACCACCACTATTGCCAGTATTAGCTAATAGTTTTGGCAAACTGTTTGGCGCCATTACCACCACCACCACCACCACCATCGCCACCATCACCAGTCGTTTGCGATGCGCTCATCAGTTGACAATCGACGAGATTTATAGAGAATCATTGGCACAGACAGTCAATCTAGTAGTGAAAGGCTATTCCTGTAGTCCAATACGCGGTACCGGTTGTGTTGTCTTCGTAGAGAACGGTCTGGTCCTTACCTGTGCTCATGTCGTAGCAGATATGCGTCAGTCTAGTCTATACTATAATACGTTGCTAAATGTTTGGCCGGGTAGTCGTCGAGCTCGGGTACTATATGTTGAGCCGCACCACGATCTGGCACTTGTGAAGATACAATATACCAGAACTACCAACGATAAGCTCAAACAAGATCTGGTGGCCTACGATCTCCAATTCACACCAGCCATCGATTTTGGAGACGATATTATCTGTTTTGGTTATCCCACGGATAACCGCCTGACAGTGACCACCGGCTGTACAGCTTGTCCTCAGTGTATAGAATACAACAGAGAAGAAATTTATGTTCCGATGGCCAGTGGACACCATGAAAGCCGAAGCGGTGTAAGCTCTGGTTTCTCTGGCGGTCCAGTAGTCGATTTAGACGGAGAATTGATTGGCATTACTCACAGTCTATTACTCACAGAATCTATTAGAATACGATCCGCTTCTCGTACTAGTATTTATGGTATATATTTCAATACTACTACCACTACTACCACTACTACTACTACTACTACTACTACTACTAATAATAATAATAATTTATTTTTATATCACAGATCCAGATAACATAGGATTTATAAAAAATGCCATAAAGTATGATAAGGAAAAGGTATTTAACAGTAACAGTATTACCACACAAAAAATATTAGTTATATTTTCTGTTTATTATGATTTTAAAGTTAATTTTTTTTAATCCGTAAATCATAATGTATGGAAAATATGCCATTAATTTATTTTTTTGTTATTTTTATTTTTCTAATTGTCAGATTGATTACAAAAATAATCGTAAACTTTTTATGAGTCAAAGTTATACACTGGACAGTCCATTTGGTGGATATCAACCATCACCACCACCACCAGCAAAAAAAACAACCAAAAAACAAAAAGGACCTAAAGTTCAGGTGACTGATGAAATCTGGAACCAACGGCGCCGTCGACGACTGCAAATAGAGGTTTGTTGGTACAGTCCATCTCGTAGTACCGATTATATGAACTGCAGTTTAATGACTGGCCATCCATTGCCGGATGAAAATATCAATCTAAGAGAATACGGTATATTTGTTTATCGATATTTCAACAAAAGATATGGAAAGTAAGTGTTTTATATATATATATATATATATATATATATATATATATATATACAGTATTTTGAATATGAAATTTTATAAATGGTTTTTTTTAAAATCAATTTATTTTTTACGGGGCATTAGTTTAATATTAAAATTTTGTTGTTGTTTTCCAGTGACGACAGTCTATTGGATTTTGATATAATCAGAGAAATCAATGGCAAAATTGTGGAGACTATTGACGACCTAAGCCTAGCACTGGTAGCCAACAATACTATCCGATTGGCTATTGTTAGGTCTGATCAACAATTTGATATCAATATTAGTAGCGAAGAATTGACGGGTAATTTTAATTATATTTAATTAATTAGATTTTTGTTTGTTGAACATTATATTATTATTCAGAAAAAAAGTTTTTAGCTATTATTTATCAATTGATTTATATTTTAAAATAAATGTTGTTATTATTTGTTTTATTATTTAAATAAAATTGTGTATCAATAATGTATATAAATTTTTATATAATCTCCATAATTATATAAGATTTTATAAATAGTTATAAAATTTTTTTATTATATAATTAACAACTTTAATGTTTGTTTTTTTATTAATAAATTTTATTACATATGTATAATATTATTTAGTAAATTATATTCCTTATATGATACCATTTGATTTTAACTAAATTAAAAAAATTACAATTATTAGAGTAATTATTAAAAGTAAAATTATATACATTAGATATAAACAATTAGTGATTATTACGAGCCAATAGTCAATAAAAAAATGTGGTTTTTTTATTTAAATCAATTCACTTGAATTTTTTCTTATATATTGATATAAGTGTTTAAACTTTTTTATTGAACATATACTGTATATATAACTTACATAAATGTCTCGACAAACATACTACTGGTCTTTAACTGGTTTACTAATAAAATCCTATTATCCTATGTTGTCATATGATCATCGGTGTCGATACCAATTGCCAACAATAATAACAACAACAACAACAACAACAACCACTTTATCATTACTATCACAACCACTACTACTAGTATTAGCCGCTAACAGTCTTAGCAAACTGTTTGACGCCACTAACCGTCGTCTCCGATGCGCTCATCAGTTATCGACAATTGACCAGATTTTCAACGAATCACAATCAAAGATATTAAGATTGGATGTGATAGGCTCTTGTGGATATTTAGGTGGTACCGGTACTGTCATATTCAAGTCAGACGGTCTGGTGCTTACCTGTGCTCATATGGTGGAAGACATTCGTCAGGCTATTGCCTATTTTAATGATTTGCCAATTGTTTGGCAGGGAAGTCGTCGGGCTCGGGTACTATACGTCGAGCCATTTAACGATCTGGCATTATTGCAGATCATTTACGATGGTGCCTACGATCAGCTCAGGTATGTACTAAATCAGTTCGCTATCGGCCAGCAAACAGCCAATTTTGGCGACGATATTGTCTGTTTTGGTTATCCGACAGAACAACTGACAGTTACCGACGGCTATATAGCTTGTCCACAGTGTATACAATCCGACAACACGGGAACTACATGGGTTACGTTGGACAGTGGCCACAATGAACACCGAAGCGGTGCTTATTCCGGTTTCTCTGGCGGTCCGGTTCAAGATTTAGACGGACAACTGGTCGGCATATTTCACAGCTGTTGTGAAATTATTAGGCGACGGGCCACTCCATGTACTAAAATTCAAGGTAATAGTTCAATACTACTACTACTACTACTACTAAACAATTTTTTATAAATATAACAATTCACCCAACAATGTCTAACACACATAGAGTTTATGCAAAATGCCAGTACTTTCAATAGGGAACAGGTAGTTAACTGAAAATTTTATTATTGTATAATTTTAAGTTTATTTTTAAAATGTATTTGAAATATACCTAATATTTTTATGAATCTGTTGTTTGAAATATTTGTCTCAAAACAACAGAGACTAATCAAACATAATGGTAAACGTGATGTTTGTCAGCGAAATAGATTGGATGACCCAATTGGTGGACACCATCTCCATCACCACCACCAACAACAACAACAACACCAACTGCGCCGCCGACGGCTACAAATAGAGGTTTGTTGGTATAATTCAGCAAATAGTATCTATTATAGGATAGTTTGCGCTAGAGATGGTAGGCAATTGCGATCAAGGAATGTCTACCTGAATGGAAAGGGTATATTTGTTTATCAATTTTTCAACGATACTCAGGGAAAGTAAGTGTTTTGTTGTTGTTGTTGTTATCATTAGTTTAATATTAAATTTTTTTTATATAAAAGTGTTTCTCTAATAGAGTTTGACGCTATCATCAAAATCAATGGCAAACCTGTCGAGTCTATTGGCGACCTAAGCCGGGCACTGGCAATGAATACTACCGTACGGTTGACTATTGTTAGGTACGGTAAAGAAAAAGAGGTCGACGTTAATGGCGAACAATTGACGAATGATTTTAATTATATTTAATTTTTTTTTTTGATTTTATTTTTAGTTATAATTTTTTTTAACAGTAATTTTAGCTATTATTTTATCGATTAATTTGTTGTTTTGAATATTATAAATATAAGAGTAGTTGTATTAATTAATATAATTTAATAGTATATTTTAACAATTATTATTTTTATATATATATATTTAACAACTTATTGATTTAATTTAAATTTTATTATACAGAAGACAACATTAGTTAAAATAAAAATATTAATTATATTGTAGAAAATAATCATAATATAAAACAAACTTATATAATGCAAAAAAATATTCAACAAAAAAAACTAAAATAATTCAAATTATAATATAATTTATTAAAAAAACTAAACATTAGATAAATAAATATTTATTGTATGTTTTGATATTAATGTTAATTAATTCTATTAATTAAAATCTGAAATAAATTTTGATTTTATTGTATAAAAAATAGATAGATATTATATAATTTAATTGTATTTATAATTATAATTATGAAAATCTCGATAAGTATTCACACATATAATATGTAATTTTATAAACTCGAGATTATTAATAGTATAGAAAACATTAATTTAAAAAAAACACTAATTTTTAGAAAATTTTTATTAATTACTATAATTACTATTTAGTTAAACAAACTTTACAAATATGTCAGTCAGACATATCGCACGACTATTATGTTTATCTATTTTCAATTGCAGTGAATTGAAGTCATACCAACTGTTTAGTCATCATCATCGGTGTCGACATCATAACAACAACAACAACAGCCGTCTATCTATCATCCGATGTGCCCATCAGTTATCAATTGAAAAGATTGTCGACGAATATCAATCAAAAACAGTTAAAATATTTGTTGACAGTTATACCAACCGTGAGGGTCACGGAGTCGGCTGTGTGATTGACAGAAGCCGCGGACTAGTGGTCACCTGTGCTCATGTTGTCGAGGATATACATGAAGTGACTGTCGAATACAGACTGGCAGACCTAAAGTTAAGAGACGGCACCCGAACGGCACGGTTAGTGTATGTCGAACCGCAAAACGAGTTGGCGCTCATACAGATCCAGTACCAACCCTACGATAGATTACTGGCACTGAACGGACTAACCGATTATGGCTATAGTGCCGAGCGAACCAATTTTGGTGAAGAAATACTGTGTTTAGGTTATCCAGTGTCATGGGCATCAATAGTACCGATGACCGGCTGTATAATGTGTCCCAGAAGTTTGCAATCACAAAAATTATATGATAAATATCGGGAACCGGATACTGTCCACTGTGAACACATTAGCGGTTTGGTGGCCGGCTTTTCGGGCGGTCCGGTCATTGACGAAACTGGTCAGTTGGTCGGTGTTGTTCACTTGAAAACTGATTACTTTAAAAACTTTAGCATTACATCCACACAATTGTCGGGTATGTTATAGTTTTTTATATAACTGATAAAAAAAATTACTGTTTAAATCTAATACAGTGTTGAGAACTTGTATTGAGATTGACATTAAAATTAGTTATTTATTAAAAAATTAAATTTAATGTTAATTTATTTATATATATATTATATTTAGATTTTGTCACCAATGCTCAGGTGTTTCGTGAAAAACAGGTACCAAAACAGTTAGTCGATAATCATCCACAAAAAAACATATATATAAATAAATAAAAAATTTCTATAAACTTATTTATAATTAGTTGGATACCAGAAAAAGATGGGAATGGGTAAGGGATAAACAGATACATAAGCTGGTCACTGGTAATACTAGCCGTACCGGTCGTGTCAGTGGTGGTGGCGGTGGCGGCGGACAACTGGGCGTCGAAATCTGTTGGTATAATAAGCGACTGATTGATATGTATAGGACTTTATGGAAAACTGATAGTCGATTTGTTAATGTTTATCAACAATACAATCGAAACGGTATATTTGTCTATCAATTGTTCAACAAAACAAAGGGAAAGTTAGTTTTTTTGTTGATAATAATTTACATATAATATATATACAGTATTTTTAATATGAAATTTTCAAATGGTTTAAATTAATTATTCAATTTTTATGGGCATTATTTAAATGATGATTTAATAATTTTTTTGTTTAATGTTGTTTGTTTCCCTTCCTCCCTCCCCCCAGTGCCAGTCTACTGGATTTTGACGTAATCATCAAAATCAATGGCAAACCTGTTGAGTCTATTGACGACCTAAGCCGGGCACTGGTATCAATGGATACTGATATCCCGTTGACTATTATTAGGCGCTTTCAAGAAAAAGACATCACTATAAGTGGCGAACAATTGATTAATGATTTTAATTATATTTAGTTAATTTTTTTTAATAGTTATAATTTTATGACCATTAGATTATTATTTTTAAATTTTTTTAACTATTATTATTTGTCGATTGATTATTATAAGTATTATAAGTGTTGTTGTTATTATTATTATTACTTGTATTAAATAAAAATAGTGTACACAATCAATAAATATATATTATAGTTATTATTTTATTTTTGTAGACACGAGTTTATTAGTAGTATAAAAATTTATAATTTTTAGTAATTATAAAGTAATTTTTCAAATATTAAAATTTAATAAATATAATTTGTTGAATATATACTATAAGTATTACAAATATGTCGGTTAGACATATCGTACGGCAATTATCTTTATCTCTAATAAATTTTAATGAATTAAAGTCATACCAACTGTATAGTCATCATCATCGGTGTCGACACCATAACAACAACAACAACAGCCGTCTATCTATCATCCGATGTGCCCATCAGTTATCAATTGAAAAGATTGTCGACGAATATCAATCAAAAACAGTTAAAATATTTGTTGACAGTTATACCAACCGTGAGGGTCATGGAGTCGGCTGTGTGGTCGACAGAAGCCGCGGTCTAGTGGTCACCTGTGCTCACGTTGTCGACGATATACGTGAAGTGACTGTTGAATACAGACTGGCAGACCTAAAGTTAAGGGACGGCACCCGACCGGCACGGGTAGTGTATGTCGAACCGCAAAACGAGTTGGCGCTCATACAGATCCAGTACCAACCCTATGATAGGCTACTGGCGCTGAACGGACTAACCGATTATGGCTATAGTGCCGAACTAACAAATTTTGGTGAAGAAATACTGTGTTTAGGTTGTCCCATGTCGTGGGCGTCGATAGTACCGATGACCGGCTGTATAATGTGTCCCAGAAGTTTACAATCACAAAAATTATATGATAAATATCGGGAACCGGACAGTGTCCACTGTGAACATATTAGCGGTTTGGTGGCCGGCTTTTCCGGCGGTCCGGTCATTGACGAAACTGGTCAGTTGGTCGGTGTTGTTCACTTGAAAACTGATTACTTTAAAAACTTTAGCATTACATCCACACAATTGTCGGGTATGTTATAATGTTTTTTTTATGTAAATAATGTTCAAAATTGGTATTTATATTAAACTTTGTATTTTTATTTAATTTCAATATTATTTTTTGCTAATTTACTAATAGATTTTGTTGCCAATGCTCAGGTGTTTTGTGACAAACAGGTATCAGTTAATCAGCCAATCATTTAATAATACAGTATACTGTATGTGTATATATATATATAACTAATTAAAATATTTTATTTAAAAAAAAATAAAACTTTTAGTTGAATATCAAAAAAAGATGGCAATGGATAAGAGATAAACAGATGCATACACTGGTCAGTGGTAATGAGTATAACCATCCCGGCCGTGTCGGTGGCGGCAGCGGACAACTGGGCATCGAAATCAGTTGGTATAATAAGTCGCTGATGGATATGTATAAAAATTTATGGCAAAATGAGGGCCGATTTGTCTATATTTATCAACATTACAATGGAAATGGTTTAATAGTTTGGACAGTAGTTCACAGAACTAAAGAAAAGTAAGCAAAAAGTTTTTTATTTAAAAAAAAATTACATAATTATTGAATTAAATATTTTTTATGATTATTATTTAATTATGATTTTTTTGTTTTTCTTTTTGGTTTGTTTTCTCGTTTGACTTTTTTTATATATATAAAAAAATAGTTTTACTCTCAAAGAGTTTGATATAATTGTCAAAATCAATGGCAATACTATTTTATCAATTGATGACATCAATAGAGCACTGGTAGCCAATACTTCTAACAATACGGTTGTGTTGACAGTCTTCAGAAATGGTTTTAATATTGATTGTCCCGTAACTAAAACTCATCAATTGTTTGATGCAATTAATATTATTTAAATCATTTAACTAAATATATAATAATAATATATATGTTATTAGTATATAAAACAGAAAATTAAATTAATTAAATTTTTAAAAGAGATTTTTTTTTTATATAGATTTCATTATTTTTTGTTGATATTTTTTATTTAATAAATATAATAAATAGTAGTTAAATATAAAATCTATAAAATTAAAAATTAATTAATTAATCTAATGTATAGATACCGATAATAATAATCAGTACACATACACATAGGGGTCATTTCTCCTCGTTTTTAAGCTACAATTTTTCGAATTTGTTCAAAATTTTGGCCTTACCCCCCCCCTACCCCCTTTACTTAACCTGATTTTAGTATAATTTTTTTTTAAAAAAAAATATAAATTAACTTTAGATAACATTAGTTTTTTATTAAAAATATATTTTAAATGTTAAATTATTATTGTTGTTTATTATATAACTTAATTTAATATAATTGAATTTTTTTTTATAAAATTTCTAATTTTGTTTTTTTTTAAATTTATTGTATTTTTATTTTATTTTAATAAAAATGAGCTACATAGATATATATATATATATATAATGTCTTTTGTATTTTTTATGTACATTTGGTAATCCTATTTGTGATGTCACACTATTATCGGTAACTACACTATTACTTATTACACGAATTTCGGTCATAAATCTATTATTTGTTTTAAAAAAAAAAAAAATTATTATTAGTTTAAAAATATCACCGTTTATTTGGAGTGTGATGTGATATGCAAAGAAAAGTAATAAAAATTGAATTTAGTTATTTTTTTTAAAAACAACATTTGCAATAAAATCACGTTTTAGTTTTATTTATTTTTTTTTTTTAATTTAAAATCTAAAGTCTACTACATCATTATGGTATTATATTTATAGTTTTTTTTTAAATTAGTAATTATTATTATTAGAAATTAATTTAGTATTTGCAAATTAATAAAAAATGAATATTTAAACTAAACSATTATATGTTTTGTTTTTTTATATAATGTCTTAAATTYAATATATACAGTATATATATAATATTATAGACAAATAAAGTAATTATTATTAAAATTAATAGATTAATAAYYAAWAATTAATAATTATCTAGAAAAATTAAATTGAAAAATTATAAACTTATAATTTAATTAGTACACATTATATATTTAATTTATAATTTTAATAAATTTGTAGGMATAAAATWAWAATTAATTTATTATTAATTTATATTATAWAATATKATTTKATATAATTWCAATATATTTAAAACACATGCAATTATTATATTAATTATATTATATTAACTTTTTTTTCACAGAAAATAATTCATTCAAAACATATTCTTATTAATAAACATTTATAAAAATATCTATACATTTGTAATCTAATTTACAATCATATATATATATATATATATATATAATAAAACATATATATATATATGTGTGTGTGTGTGTACTTAGCTCTACAAATTTATTACAGTTTAATAATTATAAWATAACAAATTAAAATWKYAATTTAATTACTATTTAAACAGCCATCYATTCAATGTGCTAAATGTTTATTATTTTATTTATTTATTGATATTTTTTTGTTAAAAAATAATATAATATACTAAAAATATTATATTAGTTGCCAATAAAAAACATTATTATTATTAGTATTATYAATAAAATTTTGCTTAAACTAAAAGTTAAATATTATTTATTATTTTTTTTKAAAACTAATTAATTGAAAAAATTATTATTATTAATCAGAAAATATGTCGCAACAAAAAATCAAAGATATTGATGATAATGATAGTGAAAGTGTGACAAACAATAATAATAATAATAATAATCAAGAAATTGTTTGGTCAATGATTATAATCATATYAATTATCCTAATATCTGGACTGTACGGCCTGTCWATGCTATTGTATGCCAAATATCAGACCATTTTGTGGGGCTATTGTTACGGTTTGTTTGCCACGTTTGGCATACTGTGCGGTGCCCATCGACTCTGGTCGCACCGWAGCTAYCGGGCACACCCGACGCTACGYTGGCTTCTGATGTTTGGCGAGACAGCCGCCGCCCTACACGACATACACGACTGGTGTCTGATTCATCGTTTGCAYCACAAGTTTACCGATACTGATGGCGATCCGCATAACTCGAAACGTGGTTTTTTCTACGCCCATATGGGCTGGTTTCTGSTTACAGAGCACCGGCWGGTCAAGAAAAAGATTGAAACCATCGACATGACTGACCTGCTCAACGATCCARTAGTACAGTTTCAAACTAAATACTATACACCGTTAACAYTAATAATTTGGGGAATYATACCAACTATTATACCCATGTTTTTCTGGTCAGAGTCGCTGATGAATGCTTTTTGCATAAATATGGCCCGACATATAGTAACATTTAATCAGATAGTGCTTATCAACTCGTGGGCTCATACCTACGGYTCAAAAGTATATATACAAATATTTATTATTATTATTTTTGTAATCCAGTTGTTATATTTTATGATTAAATTAAAATTTAAWAATTAATTAATTTATTTGTTATTTTTAATAGCCTTACGACAAGAATATAGAGCCGCGTGAAAATCGWTCAGTCAATTACCTGACCTATGGTGAGGGCTATCATAACTATCACCATACCTTTCCATATGGTAATACAGTAGTATATATATATATATATATATACWGTATATACAGTTGTTTATAAAAATTACATTATATTTTAATTCAATCAATTATTGTCTAGACTACTCGGCCAGTGAATTGGGCTGGAAATCTAATTTCAATTTGAATACCGGTTTCATTGATCTGTGCGCCTATTTAGGACTGGCCTAYGATCTGAAACAGGCRTCCAATRATGCCATTGCTAATCGTAAACAAAGAACCGGTGATGAACTGATTGGAGGAAATGAYAAACTAATTATACAAAAGTATGATTATAGCAATCTATACGACAATTTTGTTGGCATAATTGTTGCTACCTGGCCACTGTGGTCAACATTTATAATWAGATCTATTGTTATGTGAAAATTATTAAATAGTTTAAAATTTATAGTTTCAATAACAGATATTTGTTATATATATATATATAWATAATCTGTAGAATTAATTATAATTTTTTAGGATAAAAYAATTATAATTTTTTAGGATAAAATAATTATATAAAATCTATAAATTATATATTTAAAAAAAATTATTAAACCAAGATTAAACTATTAGTTTTAATTWAATTGAATTTWATTTAATTAATAATATTWAAATTTATTATTATTATTATTATTATTATTACTATTCATTATWTATTTATTAACAACAAAACAATATYAAACAATATTAAAAGATCCSARCATTTGTTCCGTACTGACCGGTATTGTAAAATCCAAACCATTCCTGATTACTGTTACCTTGACTTTGCCATTACYGGCTACCAGTGCTCGGCTCAAGTCGTCCAATGTGTTGACATTTTGGCCATTAATTTTGACAATTATATCAAAATCTTGCAGAAATCGACTGAAAACAACAAACAAAAAATCAATAAATTAATTAAAATGATTAATTAAATCTATATTTAAGGAAAAATCAATTATTATTTTTTTTTWATCATTACATTCCTCCGTGCCAKATAATAATTGCCCAAATCAATATACCGTTCCCCCWATAGTACTGARCCGGTTTTGTAAATGWTTGGCCAGTTGTTTGACTATTGTCTACATAGATCYTAACATGTGATCGGCTATACCAACAAATTTCGATACCCAGATGCCGGTCGGCCAACGTATGACTCTCACTGAGATCCTCTTTCTCATTGTCTCTTATAATTGACTTAAATTTATATATAATATTTTGTTTTGATTGTTAATAATAATTATAATAATAATCATTTTTTAAACAAATTTTATTACATACCTGTTTCCTAAAAAACATAATACCATTATAGATGAACTCTAGATTACATAAAAATACATATAAATTTTTAATTTAAAAAACAAAACAAATTTAATTTAATTTGACAAATAATAATAATAATGGCTATAAAATTCATAGAAATACCTGTCAATTCAGTAGATGGTGTGTCACAATTTATGATACAGTCATAGGTACGGTGATGTATGCCAGCCAACTGTCCCAATTCGTCGACAACCGGACCGCCGGAAAAACCTCTGACCACACCGCTAATGTGTTCGCTGTGGACACTATAATCTGATCGATAACTATAGACGTTTTGCAAYTGTATAGCCCGGGGACATGTTATAGATAAGTTGATCGGTACTAATGTTGATCTCAGATGAGTATAACCCAAACAAACACATTGTTCGCCGAAATCAATAATATCGTCGTTAACCTTAAATTCGGTAAGTGTTTGGGCCAACTGGTCGTTCGGGTCGTAGCGTATCTGAATGAAYGATAGTTCGCGATGCGGCTCTACATAGACTACTGGCGCCCGTTTCATACCTAAGCTACCGTTTGCCAGTGTATAGATGACAGTGGCTTCCCGTATGTCGTCGACCGCATGGGCACAGCTGACTACATAGCCTTTGCTAGCGTTGATTATACAACCGGTTCCCATACTTGAACAGTCGTTATGGTCGACGATAAATATTTTTACTGTTTTTGTTAGACTACCGCTAAGAATCTGACCAATTGTTAACTGATGAGCACATCGTAGTAGACCAGTAGAGGACAGTAGTCTTAAGTAACGGTGGTTGCCATTGATGTTGTTGTTTTTGATACTATGATTTTTTGGCAAACGGTGTCCAAACCATTGATATCGCAATAGTTGATAGGATTTCCAAACAAAACAATTGATTAGCGATTGTCGTGTWATATATTGTAATAACATATTGTGTAATCAAAAAATAAAAATTAAAAAAATAACTAATAAATGTTTATAACTTAATCGTTAAATTTGATTTTTAATTTTAAGCAAACAAACAAACTAATCAATCAATTAATTATTTTTTTTAATTAAAATTTAAATCACAAGTAATTAATCTCGTTATTCAATATATACTTTCAAATTGTTTTTTATTATCTGTTAGCATAATATAGAAATAATAATTTATAGTACAGTATAATAAAAGTCCYTCAAATCTAAATAAATTTAATTTATATTAATWATTACTATATATTGAATAAATGATTTAACAAAATTTTGATAAGTAAAATAAAAATGTTAGTTCAATGCTTACCGGTAATTATTTGACATTTAAATAAGTTGTAATTGTATTAAATATGTAATAAATTAATTAAATTTGTAAATATAACATTGTTTTTACTGTAATATACTGTACTAATATTACATAATTATTACATAAATTTATGATATTTTTGTAAAAAATAATAATATTCATTTATCATTAAACAATATTAACTAAATTAAAATTAAATTTCAATATAAATATATTAATTTTGATTAATCAATTATTTAAGYTTATTTATGTAAAATTAATGAATATATAAAACTAATATTATAATATATTTCCGAAATAAAATTTTATAAATTAATAAATAAAATGTTTATATTTAAAATACAATATTCTTATAATTTTTTTAATATATAAATTGATTACAAATTATATGTTAGACATTAACAGAAATAATTAAAGAAAAATAAATTAATAATAATAACAACAATAAAAGCAATGAAAAAGTATTGGTTAACTAATGAATGGTTGGACGCATTGTTGGACTGTTTTTTGGTGGTCAGATCAGTGGTGGTGACGGCAGTATCGGCAGCTCCGGTATTATTACTACCACCACTACCAGTCGTTTTGGTCACTAATGAAACATTCGACTGGTTGTCATCAGCTGCCGATGTTTTTGTATCCGATCCGACATTTCTGGCCACAATCTCGCGAGTATCACACCGAAGAAACTTAAGTGTCGGCAACCAATCGCACGATGACTGTTGCCAACGATCGTTATTATCGGCAACAATCATAGGTATTACACAATAGAACGGGCCGTTGAATATCAACAGTTCGTGGCCCTTGTTTTCGGGACCAAATCGGGTGAATGCGGCCTCAAATTTAATTGTCTCACTGATGCCATGTTTGAGCAACTCTTTGTCGACACTGCTGGTCATCGGTCTGTCAAACTGATAGCCCAATTCAAAACTAAACCCAAATATCGATTGGTCACGAAAGACAAACTTTGTTCGTCTGTCCAGTGGATCGAAATACGAGGCAACAGTTTCKCTGGCCATYTGATTGCCGATGGTTTCATTGGTTGCCGATCCTATTGCCGATCGGTTATTTTTGTGCGGCATGTATACCAGATTACCCCATACTATTTCATAGGGTCTAAGATTACGGTAGGTCAGAAAATGASTGCTATTGAAATAGATACCGGTGCCCATAAACTCGGTAACCGAATCGTGAACCTGTACGGTAACTGCCGACTCGATTAAACCGATTAAATCCGARCCGAATAGTATCGACTGGTCATAAGGACCGTACAGTTTGTCCGGATTCAAGAGCCATACCTTTTCGGCTCGAAATATGGCTATCGATCCGTTCAATAGTTGAGTAATTGTCTCAATCACACCGTCTTTGCAGATATCGTTGTCTTCATTGTTGTCGCCGTCGTTGCTGTTGTCGCCGTCGTTTAATTTTGATGACCGAATTTCTGGTATCGGTTCCAGAAAACTTTGGTTAGCATTGATAGTGGTGTCATTTAAGACAACAGGTTTGTCATTATCATTGTCAGTACCATTGATACCCGAAATCAATGGCACAGTTGTTAGTAATAATAGGGTTAAAAGCAAATAACACATTAATGGCTTAATTCAAATTTTTTTTTGTCAAATAAATATTTATTTTAAAACAAATTTATCCATAAATGTAATAATAATATTAATAATATTAATTAAAGACAAAATATTAACAATAATTTTAATTTATTATATTAAGTGATAATAATAATCTCACGTTTTCTTAATTGAATAACATTTTTTTGAATAAATTTAATATTTGCCGTTAAATTTTGTCAAATATAGATTTACTAACAATTTGTTCACTTTAATAGTCAGWTATTTTTGTTTTGTTTATTGAATTAATATTAGTTAGTAATTGAATTATGAAATACTATTACTATTTGTTGATTWTTATCAATTTGTTGATAATAAGTRTCCCATCGAGTCTTATAAATGAATTAACAAATYTATATAAGTAAAATAAAAATGTTTGTTCAATACTARCCGGTAATTATTTAACATTTTAATAAGTTGTAATTGTATTAAATATCTAACAAATTAAATAAATTTGTAAATATAATATTGTTTTTTACTGTAATACTAATACTAATATACATAAATTTTCTGAAATTTTTGTAAAAAATAATAATATTCATCTATCATTAAACAATATTACTAAATTTAAAATTAATTTTCAATATAAAATATAGTAATTTTGATTAATCAATTATTTATGTTTATTGGCTGTTGTATAGTATAGCTGCCACTTGTTGTTCACGCGATTAATATTTAATACAATTTTAAAGTTAAATATACAAATATCGCGTTAATTACAATAGATTTTATTAAATATAAATATATTATTATGAAATAATATTTTACATTGCAAATTAATATATATATACCTGTATATACTGTAATTAAAATTACATTAAAGGGTTGTATAATTGTTTTATACAATCAATAAAAAAAATAAAATTATCTAAATTGTTGTGAAGTACGTGTCGGCGCCAAAGATATTCGGCTAAATGTAGATAAAGGTTATCTTGTGGTATACCCCCTCTTAAAAGATTGCGTTTCATAGCTCTCCATTGAGATTCAATGGTCTGTGTGTTTGCACCGGTATGTGAATTGACAAACTCTTTCGAATGATTCACAGTAAAATGGACAAAACCTAAAAATTAAAAAATTAATTAACTTAATAATATGTTTTATCTATCATTTATACCATTGTCTGTTAGTCTATAATATAGCCCAACAGTCAGACACAATAGTTGTCCCAATTTTTACATGCTTACGTATCAAAGGTAAAAGAGTGTCGGCATCTCTTTTATTTAGGGGACATATTTCTAAACGAAATCTACCTCCACGTCGACAATTAGCTCCTATTTGAATCTCAACTAAACCTAAAATCCACGTCCCATCAACTAGTCGACCTCTATTGTACTTTCTTTTACCAACTTTTGTTTCGTCAATTTCTACGACAACTCCTGAATTAAAAGTTATCAAAATATTATCATTATAATTAGGTTTAGGTTGCGGTCGGAACTCCAGGTTAGGTAACAGAGCAAACACTAATACACTATCAGTTTGGTATTACCATTATAATTAGGTTTAGGTTGCGGTCGGAACTCCAGGTTAGGTAACAGAGCAAACACTAATACACTATGAGTTTGGTATTACCATTATAATTAGGTTTAGGTTGCGGTCGGAACTCCAGGTTAGGTAACAGAGCAAACACTAATACACTATCAGTTTGGTATTTCCATTATAATTAGGTTTAGGTTGCGGTCGGAACTCCAGGTTAGGTAACAGAGCAAACACTAATACACTATCAGTTTGGTATTACCATTATAATTAGGTTTAGGTTGCGGTCGGAACTCCAGGTTAGGTAACAGAGCAAACACTAATACACTATCAGTTTGGTATTACCATTATAATTAGGTTTAGGTAACGTGCATAATTAAATATGTATCATATACTACCTTCTCCTCCTAAGAGATCAACTGATTGATATTTTTCGACCCAATCAAATACCACTTCTCGACAAAAGTTAAGCCAATCACTTATAGTGTTATGAGATGTTGTTTTAGTTAAATCACTTGTTTCTCGTTTAATGTCCTCATATTTTGTTGTGCCGACCGAAAACAGGTACGTCAAGATTATTATGTTTTCAATGCTAAACTTTGATCCAGAAAACCACGTATTATTCAAAGCACTTAGTCTATAATCATGAGGTTGTCCATGCTTTTGGTGGCACCGGTACGATAATTGTTTGACAATTATCTTCTACGAAAATAATTTTTTAATGTATTTTTTTGCAAATTAATTATTTACCATTTCGTTGTCACAAATGGGACACTTTTTAGTTGCTAATAATAAACCCATTGTTATACACCAGTTAATCATTGTCTCCTGTGAGACAAGTATTAGTCTAAATAATGTCTTTAGATTAATCATTTTGTTCACTAAATTTAAGTCATAGCTTTCAAAAGAAACATAACTTTCAAGAAAAACTTAACAAAGAAAATATTCTCTAATTTACAATAAAATTAATAGTAATTCACGAGACATTCATATATTTATCTTTAAAATTGTATTAAATATTAATCGCGTGAACAACAAGTGGCAGCTATACTATACAATACCCTGTTTATTTTTAAAAAAATTAATATTATAATATATTTCCGAAATAAAATTATATAAATTAATAAATACAATATTGATATTTAAAATACAATATTCTTATAATTTTTTTTCAACAAAAATTATAAATTCATTACAAATTATATGTTAGACATTAACAGAAATAATTAATGAAAAATAAATTATTAATAATAATAACAACAATAAAAGCAATGAAAAAGTATTGGTTAACTAATGAATGGTTAGACAACGCATTGTTGGACTGTTTTTTGGTGGTCAGATCAGTGATGGTGACGGCWGTAMCGGCAGCTCCGGTACCACCACTACCAGTCGTTTTGGTCACTAATGAATCATTTGACGGATTGTCATCAGATGCCAATGTTTTTGTATCCGATCCCATAATTCTGGGCACAATCTCGCGAGTATCGCACCGAAGAAACTTAAGTGTCGGCAACCAATCGCACGATGACTGTCGCCAAAGATCGTCGGAAACAGTCATAGGTATTACACAATAGGACGGGCCGTTGAATATCAACAGTTCGTGGCCCTTGTTTTCGGGACCAAATCGGGTGAATGCGGCCTCAAATTTAATTGTCTCACTGATGCCATATTTGAGCAACTCTTCGGCGACGCTGCTGGCCATCGGTCTGTCAAACTGATAGCCCAATTCAAAACTAAACCCAARTATCGATTGGTCACGAAAGACAAACTTTGTTCGTCTGCCCAGTGGATCGAAATACGAGGCAACAGTTTCTCTGGCCATCAGTTTGCCGATGGTTTCATTGTTTCCCGATCCTATTTCCGATCGGATATTTTTGTGCGGCATGTATACCAGATCACCCCATTCTATTTCATAGGGTCTGAGATTACGGTAGGTCAGAAAATGASTGCTATTGAAATAGATACCGGTGCCCATAAACTCGGTAACCGAATCGTGAACCTGTACGGTAACTGCCGACTCGATTAAACCGATTAAATCCGARCCGAATAGTATCGACTGGTCATACGGACCGTACAGTTTGTCCGGATTCAAGAGCCATACTTTTTCGGCACGAAATATGGCTATCGATCCGTTCAACAGTTGAGTAATTGTTTCAATCACACCGTCTTTGCAGATGTCGTTGTCTTCGTTATTGTTGTGGCCGTCGTTGTTGTTGTGGCCGTCGTTGTTGTTGTGGCCGTCGTTGTTGTTGTTGCCGTCGTTTAATTTTGATGACCGAATTTCTGGTATCGGTTCCAGAAAACTTTGGTTAGCATTGATAGTGGTGTCATTCAAGACAACAGGTTTGTCATTATCATTGTCAGTGACATTGATACCCGAAATCAATGGGACAGTTGTTAGTAATAATAATAGGTTTAACAGCAAATAACACATTAATGGCTTAATTCGATTTTTTTTGTCAAAAAAAATATTTATTTTAAAACAAATTTATCCATAAATGTRATAATAATAATAAAGCAAAAGACACAAAATATTAACAATAATTTTATTTTAATTCATTATATTAAGTGATAATAATAATAATAATCTCGCGTTTTCTTTATTGAATAACATTTTTTTTTTTAAATTTAATATTTTCCGTTGAATTTTTTCAAATATAGATTTACTAACAATTTGTTTACTTTAATAGTCATAAAACATAATTGAATTGAATTTTAAGTTTAGRGTAAAACAAAAATTAATTAATGATTAAGTTTAATGGTGTCATCAATTTCTATACGACTACTGGCCATCAATTTATATTCAATTAAGTGGTCAWATCATTGGTATGCAAATATCGACACATAATTTTATTTTTTAATAATTAATATTAGCCTACTTGTGCTAATCTATTTCATACCTGTGCTGTCCGTTCAAATCATTATTACAGTTGTCTTAGATATGCTCGGATGGCATCATCGTCATCGTCGTCGGATGAGTTGCCGACAACACCAGAAGCAGCTATTATGTCAAACTATCACCGAAATGTTTTCAAAATYAGATGCAAAGGTTATAGTGGTTCAATCACTGGCACCGGATGTTTAATTAACAAACAGTACGGCCTTTTAGTAACCAATATTCATATATGCAAAGACATTAGACAAGTGGAACTGGAGTATCATAATATGGTTGTCTATCTGTATAWTAMATTTGCACATAATATATATATAGCATGTATTTGATTRACATTATATAATAATTTAATATTATTATTGTTTTTTTCTACAGATCACATCAGATACCTGTGCCGATAGTGTATTGAAATTTAAAGGAMGAGTAGTATATGTCGAACCGCAATATGAYTTAGCACTTGTGAGGGTACAGTTTGAYAATAGTARCGATAAYAAWGATAATCAGCTGACTGRCCAGTTTGAATTGATCGATAAACTGCCCGATTTTGGCGACTGTCTGGTCTGTTTGGGACATCCCCTACCGGGAAACTATAGTATGACTGCCGGTATTGTTGGCTGTGGACACCGAAAGTTTGAAGCGATTAGTCAATTGTATTTTGCCGACAACCCGTTTGTAGGCCACACCTGTGGTACAGCTAATGGCTATTCTGGTGGACCGTTGATCGATGAAATGGGACGGTTAGCCGGTATACATCATTCCAGTTACGATCCAACTGGTAGTAGATGTGCAACACATGCGACAAAAGTTAATGGTTTGTTAACACATTTTTTTTTTGTTAATTTATATTTTTWAAAAACTAAAATATTTAGTAAATCATATATATTTTCATTAACTTTTAATTATTTTTTATGTCTAGAGTTTTACGAAACGGCAAAATGGTTTCACCAGAAAAAGGTAATAACTTATATATACATCCATACTGTCTATACAATTAAAAAAAAGTTAATTATTTAAAAAAAAACTTTATGTACTGATAGAGTAGGTATCAAAATGATAGGAAATGGCTGATTGAAAAACAGTCGGATTTGACGGACAGACTCAAGTTAGGYCTAGAGATCTATTGGTTCCGAAAATCGTTGGTCGAAAAATTCTGGTACCAAAAAATGGCCACAATTGAGGGCCGGGTATTCAATGTTAAATGTCAATTTGACGGACATATACTCRTATGGAATATATTGAAACCAATTGATAATAATGTTTTGGAAAAGTYAGTAATATTTWTTTAYTTATTTATTTTGTAAAATAATTATTTTTTTATAAATATWTTTTAWWATTATTTGTATATATAATCTAATATATAAATCATATACAATGCAATACTACTCTATTAGGGAAAGACTATTACAATTTGATATAATTATTACAATTAATGGCAATTTAGTTAAATCTGTCGATGACTTATACAATACGGTTGAATCAAATCCTTGGAAATCAATTGGATTGACTGTCTTCAGGAATAAGACTATAATTGATATAACATTAAATCCACAACAATTGCCATTAGAGTCGTTAGGATTTGCTTGAATCATAATTAACTATAAATTTAAATATCAMTACAACATAACTATACTGTATAATAGACATAACTGTGAACTTATTAAATCAATAATAATTTTTTTTTTTAAAATATATATTGATTATTTTTTCATTTTATTATTTAACGCTCTTGATCCTAACAAATATATCTATTTTTACCTTATGTTACTAAATTATTAAAGCCCGCGCTAGTGTTTTATTAATTAACCAATCAAATTAAAGCAAATTTTACTAATAATTAACGGTAAATTAAATATATTTAGACGTTTTTTATGGCATTTATTTTCAAACAAATTTATTTTCATTTTAAAATTAAAAATAATTAAAAAATCAATGTTTTTAAGTTATCATAAGACTCAAAGTATAATCGGGCTCTGAATTGACTATAAAACGACTTTAGTATAAGTTAAAATGTGTTCACTAATGTGTGCGAAATATATAGGAATTTGAGTCAATTTTTTGATATTATAGACACAATAATACGGATCCAATTGTTTCGTTTGTTTGGTGACAAAAACGTGTTGTTGTAAACTTTGCTATCATTTTCAACCATATATAGTATCAACGGGTGATTGACATTAATGTATAGTTTAATTGAATTGAGTTCAGTGGACATCACTATCGACTCAAAAGACGAATAGTCGAACTCGAAGTTGTAGCGAATATTTGTAAAAAAACTTCTTATTGTTGCCGCTGGTCACCCGAGATTGTCATGAATTTGCGGCAGTAATGACTCGACGGTCAAGTCATCTCTGGCCACATGAACTTTGCTGTTAAAGAGATTGTGATCAGTGCTTTCGTAATGTTTGATGAATTGAGTCAAATCAATAAGAGTTCCAAATTTGATCAAAAATTAAATCAAATGTTTCAATCAATTCATTTTCTGAGTTATTGTTTGTAGTGTTTGTGTTTGACTTTGAGTTTATAAACCACATAATTTCGTCGGCTATTGAATACCAGGTCTGTTTCAGAAACAAACTGTTTTTTTAGAATCAATTGAGCCGTATATCTGGAAACCCATTCTTCTTCGTAATAGTTTTTGTCTGTACTGTTGGCCAAAGTGGTTAATTCGAGTGCTGACAATCCGTACAATTGATTGTCACGAATCCAATTGATGGCATTGGATGTCTCGTCCGTATGAATACCAACAAAGTTGTCTAACTTTTCTTTAAGTGTTTGTTATGAATATTTGTTTCGTTTGTTTGGTAACGACGTATTATAAACTTTGATATCATTTTCAACAATATATAGTATCGGTGGGTAATTGACATTAATGTGAAGTTTAATTGAGTTGAGTTTAGTAAACATGACAATCGACTAAAAATATATGCTCTGGCCAAACAATGGGCGGCCGCGATTCCCAAAAGTTATTTAATATAAACTAATAAAATAAAAAAATTATAAATTATTTTAATAATTTTATTAAAAATATATTTATACCTATTTTGATAATTAACATGTAATTGAAAACATGTTCTATCCATCGACATAGCTTCTTTGCATAATGAATTTTTGCAATTTCCACACCAATATGTAGTTTGTGTTCTAATATGTTTCTTACGACACATGACGCAATCACGTTTAAGAGGTTTTGTGTCAATTTTTGTTAACGCCGAAGAACAACATGCATGTAATGAAATCGATTTCTCGCTTACTTGCAATAATCGTCGGGCCGTTAGATACTTGAAATCGCTTGAACTTATTGGTTTTGATGTCTTATCTTTATATACAATAAAAGAGTTATTGATGCTAACGCTGACAACCAAATGCCAGATGACTTGTGGCCAATACAATACTCTGTGAGGATATGAATGATAACTCAAGCGTTGATCATATCTGTCAATGCCACCCATAAATTTTTTGTAACTCGATAATATTTGGTGAATTTATTGTTACAAAACCAGTATCACTTTTTCTTGATCGACGCTGTATATTAACTTCCCCTTTGGTTAAATGTGTAGACAAAGCCAGAACTTGCTTGTTGTCATACCATGCCATACAACAAATCTTATCCTTTCTCATGTAAAAAGGTCCAGGTTGTTTGCGTGACAATTTAAGGGCAAATTTTTTAAAATTAAGTGGTAATCCTCTTCGGTTTTTTCTTAATGTTCCCGTTAAACTCATCCCGCGGTAAATCAATTCTTCGGCCAATTCAATACTTGTGTAATAATTGTCTGTATATATATCATGACCAGACATTTCACCCATACATTCAAGTAACTTCAAAACAATATCTTTTGTTGACGAAGTAGACTCATCACCACAATGACACAATAGGTTTAACATGTATCCGGTTTCTGATTCACATAATACGAAAAATTTTATCCCAAATTTGTGAGCTTTTGACGGTATATACTGTATGTGTTTCCAACGGCCTTTAAATGCTACCAACGATTCGTCAACGGATAACTCCTTTTTTGGTACATACAAATGTTGACTAACTTGTGTTATATGCGTTAAAAGCATTCGAACTTTGTAAATTTCATCGGATTTGTCACCAGTTTCTTCGTCACAAAAATGGAGACCTCGTTTAATAGCAAAATATCGATCTCGACTCATAGTTTTTTTTTATGAGATCAGATGAATAGAATCCCGAAGACCAGTGATCACGTTCACGTGGTATATGCTTTAGGCTAATAAGAATTTGAATACCTATGAAATGTCTTAATTCAGTCACATTTAAGTCAATGTTAGGGTTGCGTTTGTTTGTTAAATTCACAATAATTGTCAAAAAATTATCATCAAAAAATCTATCAAATATAAGTGTCGGATCAGTCGGTATGACAATTGTTGGTCCACAAGATTTGTCAAAATCTGGCATCCATTTGTTCTCTTCTTGTGTGTCAAATATCCACTGATTGTTTGGTTTTCGTTGTTTAAATTTTCATCATCACTATCATCAGTGTCACTATGATTTGTTTGCGTGAACTCGACATTAAAGCCATCATCGCTATCGTCATCAAACAGTAGCCCTAATTCGTCATTTATAGGATTCAAATCGGTCAACGATGGGAAGTCTTCACTGTGTATATTAAATTCATTTGATGTTGAATTGTTGGTCACATTGTTCTTAACCATCCCTACATATGGTTGTCGAGAAGAGGATGTGTTTTGGTTTATAAGCTATAAGTTATTGCAAAATAAACATACAATTAACACAAAATCACTTATAAATAATTACAAAGTCCATACACTGTTGGAATTGCTTCCTCCAAGTGTAGGAAACTCAGTCATGTCTAATGAAGGTGCGGGCGGACCACCAACTGAACCTCCAACCACACCAAAAGTATGCATTGAATTTCTATTACTCATTCCTAGTAGACTCGTATTGTTTGTGAAAGTGCCGCCACCGGTAATGTCTATGAGATCAGATATTCGGTTACGATTTGATATGAGTCGCGATGAAAATCCAGATAATGAATTGGGAGACTGTTGTGACTGTTGCGGCAGCGGTAGTGTCACTGGTCCTGTTGGCTGATCTACATTCTGGTCCAATGATGACAGTCCCGCAAAGTTATTATTGCTCTCTCTTCGTGTCGGAACAGAACCTATTAATGTCTGGCCATTGTTCAGTGGTCCGGTAGATGGACTTGACATTATGAATGTGATGAATAACGTATTACACAAATGGTTAAATCTTTGTTAATCTTCTCAATCAATAAGGAAATATCAGTCAATTTTTATGTTTTCAGACACCGTTATGAGTCATTTTTGTCGCTCAACAATGAATTGATTAGACAGATATGACACCTTTGAGTCCAATTCTTTGACACAATCAACCAGTTTTATCTTTTCTCGAGCAACAAACTCGGCTTTTGTCTTAAGATGTTTCTCAAAAACGAGACCTAAATTGATGATAAACTCGGGTTTTAATTGAGACAATGACTCGTATCCAATGAAAAACAATAGTTTGAATGTCGGCGGAAATGTAATAATATCTTCACTATCAGTCGGAGCGTCCGATTTGATCACAATCTTTGATGTGGTGCGATGTGAAGTCGTTAGTGGACACCGAGTAGGCCGAACTCTTACGTCGGCTATTGGTATGAGTGTTGATCTTGAGGTCGGCTTTACTTCTGTTTTGATAAGTTTCTGGATTTTAGCTCAAATGAGAGCCCATTAATGGTTATATAATCTTAACATTTGTGACACTTGTCTTAACACAAACACAATATATATTTAAAGCAAAATAGCAACAAATGTTTTTCTAAATCAATAATTAATTGATTTATTTACTAAATTAATAACAAAACTTTTACAACATTTTATACAATAATGTAATACAAAAAAGTTTTTATAATAGAATACAATTGTTATTGTTTTTACTATAATGCAATGCATTATGCAGTAACCATAAAGTACGTACAGTAAATAATACTGTTTAATAGTTAATTTAATTTAAATTATAATTCTGTCATATGATTGGCTATTTAGTTTTGTGCCGTCGGCACACTTTAGGATTCAAAGGTATACATTGTTTTGTGCCGACGGCACATATTGTTGTTAGCGCGTTAATGTATAAAAACGATAATTAAATACAATGTCTAGATTTTTCAATTAGTTTCAATTAGAAATAATATTTTTGAAATAAAAATACTATTAGTTATAATAAATTATTATTATATAGATATTACTAACAATTGTATAATTATGAAAAATTTATTATTAAAAATAAAAATTCMTAAAAAACCTATGAAATGCGAAATTAAATATAAAAATTCAAAAATAATAAAAACAAAAACAAATTATTTCATTTGCTTTTATCGTTTGTCAACAATTTTTGTCTGTATTCTTTGGTTATTGATTTTCATCGGCGATTTCGAAACATTGGCCACTAATTTGTTAGACTTCGGTAGCGTCGGCGGTGACTCAGATTTTCCCAATAGTGTATCGGACTTTGGCTCCGATTTGTCCGATTTTGTGGCCATATTAGATTCATTGGCCGACATACTGGACTTGGCATCTATGTCGAGATCTTCGGCACTGTGACCGCGTACAGATTTGTCGGCACTTGTGTCGCTTARGACACCGGCAACTATATACCAAATACCGAAAACTATAACACCGGCCAACAAACACGAACCCAACCARAATAGTGACGCCCAGAAYGACAGCTTGAGTCCAAAGTAGACAATAGCCAGCGTTRCCAATACGACTACCGCCAGCATAATGGCCAACACTGCAAATCGGCATAATGTGCACCCGTTGAACGGTTCTACTTCTTCATCCGTATCGATGTCGACTCTGGCACTGCCGCTGCCGCCGACCATCTTATGTTTGGCTTCGGCTTCCAGTTTCYTGAGTTTATATTTATAGATCCAATAGATCAGTGACGATATAASTAGTGTAATGGYAGCGCTTCCGAGGCCCGACATCAGCGACTGTAACAGTGTTTCGTGCGATTGTATAACAGAGACAGACATACAGATAGTGGCCAACAATGCAATCGAGAAAAAGATAAGCACTTGAAGATCGAGCCAACTGAGCGCCGGTACGGCAATATCTGGCTGTTTGTTGACCGATTCGTTTTGACCGGTTTTGGCCGCAAACAATTTTGGCCGATTTTTTATATACTGATTTACCGAACATTTTTGTATTAGTTTTCGGGCTTCTTTGTTACGTTTCGGGATTTCAACGACGGATACGGAGTAGAGATACAGTTCGGCTGAATCGCTGACCTGCGAATGATTGGCCCGAATATAGGTAATGACCGGCAGTGGCATCAATCGGCCCATAACTATGCGCATTGGCGACGATAGCGGATCGGGCAGTTTGCTGGTCGAAAATCGTACCTGATTGGCCACCGATTGGCGATTCGCGTCCAACAGTTCCAAGTCTACAGTGGTTTTTTCGATATTAAAATCACTCGAAGGACAGCCGACCATCACATCGATAATGTATTGGTAGGCAAACGTTTTGATTGAACACATGGACAACGCCACCTGGACTTCGGGCTCACCGGGCGGTTGTTCTCTGAGTTTTGTCCAGAAAATCCAGAAAGTCATCGACAACCAGACAACAAGTATGGCTATAATGACGATAAAACTCTGGATAAATCCCTGGGCTTTGCATCGACAGTATAGCTCTTTGCCGGCGATTTCAGTTTCGCATCGGAAGCTCAAATAGGAGGCGCCGTTATTATCGAAACAAAACACTAGATAACTATCCCGAAAACTAATTAGATTACTACTGTCATCAGCGGTCAGTTTGATGGTATCGTTTTTGCCGTACACGTTGCTGGTGTGCATCTCTTCATTATCTRTCACCTGATATACAGTTCCGTCGACTTTGACACTGACGGCATCAACTGATTTGTGGCCACCATTTCGTCGCCATCTCTTCAACGACGATCGTTTAGATCTTAACTCTTCATCGGTAATCGATGTCTGTTCATCTGATRCGACAGTTGCTATTGTTGTTGTTGTTGGACTCGTTATATTACTGGTCATCTCTACWRTTGTCACYATTGTTTCTGTGGTCTTATTASTTRTTTCAATGATATTAACAGTAGTTTCAGTKMTATTATCAGTTTCGGYGGTCTCAAGAGTTGTTTCATTGTTACCATCAGTTATCGCTGTGATATTACCAGTTATTACAGTRAKGACAACAGTGGTATCAGAGATTGTTTCAATAGTCTCACGAGTTGTTTCTGTGGTAATACYAGTTGTTTCATTGATATTACTAGTCTCTTGAKTTGTTTCTGTGGTAACATTAGCTGTTTCAGTGATTTCTTCTACTGTTGACGTGTCATTGYTAACGGAAGTTGGCTCTGGTTTCGTATGGTTTGATTCTTGAGTTTCTGTTGTCGTCATCGTTGGTGTTGTTGTGGTGTTGTTGTGGTCATCGTTGGTGTTGTTGTAGTTATCGATGGTGTTGTTGTAGTTTTAGTTACTGGAATCGGTGTAACAGAATCTGAACTTTTTTTATTCTTCACTATCAATCGTAACGATGAATCGGGAAACTGTTTTGCCAGAAACTGTCCGGTAATTGATCCTAACTGTACGTCTACTTTGTCAACAGTTTTCATCGATTCACGGATCTGTTGACTTAACGATGTAAAGACAAACACATGTGACGGTGTTTTGCTGACCGCCAAAAACGATAGCCGACTATCGGGACACAGTGTCAGTGAAAAACTGTCGCCTGATTTGCTATTGTCAATGATATTGGTTTTTATATCGATATTACTGGCCAAACACGACTGRCCATTACTATYACTACTACCGCCRMCGCCGCCGCACCAGACAATATGGGAACGGTATGTTAAAACTAGAAGTACTACTAACGGTACTATTACTGGCCATATARTTGTCACAATAAAATTGTTTGAAYTCATTTTTTTTAATATAAGAAAAAATAGATATATATAAAGACAATCAAATTACCGGTAAAATGTATGGTATTATTATTATTGACTTTAGTATAATTAAACGGTAAATCATAACCTAAAAAAAAAAAATAATAATAAATATAATTTGAATTTTAATAATAACATATTGTCAAAAATCATGCATTTTTTTTAAAAATAAATATAATTTACAATTACTGTAATATAATTCATGTGATAATTTTGATTGTTTGCGATATATTATAAAATACATTGATTTGGGTTCAATAAAAAATATTTTTATCAATAAATTATTAAATAATAAATTTTTAWACAAAACCACAACAACAGTTTATATTTAGTTTTTATAAATTAATTACTGGTTATTTAATATTACATATTTAATTTAATTTAATAAATTTAATATTATAACAAAATTAAAGTTATGAACAGTTTTATAAAAAAAATAAATTAAATTTTATAATAAGTTAATAATAAATAATAACAAATAATAGACTAAATACTAACTTAAATGTTAGATAATAATAGAAAATAATAGCGAAAATAGATTATAATAATTGTAACAAAATTTAAAATGTAAGCAAAAATAATGTRTTTTTTTAAAAAATGAAAAAAGTTTTCATTAATTAATTTTATATTCAGTTTAAGTTAAATAAAACAACTATTTTCTGACCGACAATTACGACGGTTTCTCTCTCTCTCTCTCTYTCTCTCTCTGGTCAACAACAACAACAAAATCGGTAATCAATCGATAGCCATATCACCGCTGGCAGTGGCGGTGGCGGCCGCAGAAGTGGCCATACGATTGGCTGTCGGCAGTGTATCGACAAACGTCTCGAACTGTTTGAGTTGACGGCAAAACTCGCGGGCTTTTGTCTCGTTCTGATGTTTGACGGCCACCGAKCGGTCAATCAGTCGATTAATTTGGCCAACAATTTGGCTTTCGTAGTGACGCGACTCGCGTAAGTATTGGTCACAATCGCGTAACAGTTCTTCCAGTTCGGGCAACAGTGACTCGAATGTCTGGACGACGTCGGTTGAGTTCGGCGGCTGAGCAGCTGATGTAGCCGTGACACCGATAGCCGCTGTGGTGGTGGTGGTGTTGGCCAGTATTGATTGTGGTGTTCGGGCGGCGGCGGCGGCAAAAGTACCGATAAGAGTATTAGCGGCGATCGGTGTGTTCGCGACGGCGGCGGCCGCTGTCCCGCCGATTGTCGAACAGGCAATTATCGAGAGGTCGTCGTTGTCATTGGTGGCCATATTGCCGTCGGCCGCGGCAATCGTTGGTTTGTTGTCCATCGGGTTATTATTATTATTATTATTCATTGTTTTTTATGTGTGTTTTTAATAATACAATTGCAATCAATTGATTGACTGATTTATTGATTGATAGAAACAAACAAAATATTTGTAAACAAATAGTAATAATAATAATAATAACTAATAATAGAAAACAATATTCAAAAAAAACAAAAAACAATCGAATCATATGTTATAATATAATTACGCAATAATTTTATTGCGTATACATATTGTTGATGTTGTGTCAAATGGGACCAAATTGTTTATTATTTTTTTATTGAACAATCAATAGTATACAAGTATTAAATATTTTAGGGAATATTATCGACGATTTTTTGGTACTATTTTTCACAAATATGTAAACCAATAGCCAATAAACAACAATTTTTTTTCAGTCCATTCATGGATTACGTAACGAATTGTTTTGTTTTTTATTTGAATTATTATTATTGTTGTCGTCGTTGACCACCAAAAGTGATTGAATTGTTAACACCCGTCGGGTGATTATCGCGGCCACCGTTATTATAGCCAGCCATTGGACGACGACAACGACGATATGACCAGTACTAGTGGCCACGTTTGGACCGGAGCCGCAGCCGCCGGTACCGTCGTCTCAAGCGTTGACAATACATACGATACGTTGTCCACCGAAAGTGGCGAATTGGTCGGCGAAATAGAGACAAAACGCCAGAAAGATAAACACTGGTCGACGAAAATAGGCGCCCAATTGGCCACCAAATTGGATACTATGGTCGACCAGTTCGAGCACGACCTGAAACGTGACTACATTGCCGATACGGTTGTTGGCCAACGATTGAATTGTTTTCAAGGACACTTGCTTGACCTGCGGGCCATTGAACGACAGTTTTTGGCTGTCGACCAATTGGTCGCACGACTTGCCGCCGGCCGACACAGTAGTAGTATTAGTAGTAGCGGTGGTATTGTTGGCGGTGTTAATGGTGGCGATTGTGATGTTGGTCAACAATAATTGGCTGATTGTCCCCTCGGGTGGGGTTTTTGTTTAAAGACAATTAATGTTTTTTTTTGTTTATTTAATTAAATTAAATTTTTGTTTTTTTTCTCGTTTATAAACATTTTATTTGTGTAACAATTTATTTCTAGTTAAACATTAACTTTATGTACACAAAAAAAAACAAAAATTATTTTCTTTAAAAACAATTTATTAGTTAATTAGTAAATTTAATTAAAATTTAATTACAAATGTTTTTCAGATTATAAATGTAATATTGAAATAACAATAATAATAACTAAAAATAAATGTAGTAATACAATATAATAACTAATAATAATAATAATTATATAATTTAAGCAAAGTTTGTGTAGTTTTTTTTGTTGAGATTTTTGATAAAAAGAAAAATTTGTTAAATTTTTTGTTGTTGTAAATAACTAATTGAATAAAAAATAAAATAATAATTAATATTGTATTTCACATTTCAGTCACAAAATGGTTCAGTCTATCCATCAATTGTCGTCGCAAAACCATTTGAAAACTACGGCTCCGGCCAACAGTACGGACAACAACAGTGTAGACACCGATTGTGGCACCAGTTTCGGCAAACGGGCGGCCGCTCCGTTCGGCTTTTGCGAACCCTGTGTTTGTGTGCCGGCCGGCGTTTGGCTACCATTACCGCCTCCTCCTCCTCCACCACTACCACTACCATCTGCTTCACCGCCTTCGGCGACCAGTATTTTGTCGTCAGGATTACACGGCAAATACTTTTTACAGTTGTCGGCCGTCGGTCGCAATTTTCGGCAGAATTCGGCGGTCGGATTGATGTTGGCATCTTTGCACGCTTCGTATGTGCCTTGGTAGTACTCGGCACTCGGAGAGACTGTCGTCTTAGTGCAAATCAATTGCTGATCAATTGAAAGAGAGAGAGAGAGAGAGAGAGAGAGAGAGAAATGGATTATTGGTATTCCCAGTCATTCCCAGGGATCAGCTGTTGTCGACAGTCAGGGTCGACACCCACTGATACTTACAAATTTAAAGTCAACACAAAGGCTTTCAATGGCCCGACAACAGGTAACATCTGTCATCTGTGACGTTCGTGAGCTAACCCCAAGCCATTTGTCGTCCAGACATTTGTTGGCCACTTTTCGTTCGGCTTTACAGTCTCCGTCGCCGCCGCCGCCAACAACTCCCGTAGTTTTCATTGCTATAGTAATCAGCAATAGGAGAAGATTATGGAGACATATAGTTTTCCGAGTGGTTTTCATCAGTGGTTTTGATTGTTTTGTTTCTTTTCTTTTTTTATTATTAATAATTATCACACAAACTAAAGAAATAGTATATGAGTTTCAATTGTTTGTCTTTTAAATTGAAGATCAATGGCAAAAAAAAATTGTGGCAAAAAAATCGTTAACTAAATCGTTAATTTTTTTTTGAATCAAATTCTTCACTATTGATATGATTGATATCTCGTGATAATTGAATTCAATTATTATTATTAATACAATTAATTGTTATCTTTATTTTTTTTTGTTTATAAATCACGCGATAATTTTTCACATTAATATCTATACATATTAGCGTAAAAAACAAAATTAATTAATTAAAACCGTTTTTTTCTCGTTATCAATGAAACGAAAATGTCTAACAAATCATCACTGACTGTCACTCTGGTGTTACCAACAATAATCCTATTGTCATTGTCATCGACGATAGTGTTGTTGGCGGACAATTCATTATCATCGTCAGCTGATGATGACGACACTAGTCTGACCACTACTACTACTACTGCGGCTATCGATGACGGCAACAGTACCAATATTGGCAACATAACAACTACCACTACGACTACCACCGAAAATCGGATGTAGTGGACACAAATAGTTCCGGCGGCGGCGGCTACTTATCGCCAATCAAGTGTTGTGGTATTTTGGAAAAAAAATTATTAGTTAATTAGTAAATTAATTAAATTTAATTACAAATGATTTCAAATTATAAATGTAATATTTAAATAACAATAATAATAACTAATAATAATAATTATTATTATATAATTTAAGCAAAGTTTGTGTAGTTTTTTTTTTGTTGAGATTTTGGATAAAAAGAAAATTTTTTGGGGATTCTATAGTGCAGCTCCCACTTGTTGGCACGCGATTATTATTTAATACAGTTTTAACGTTAAATTTATGAATCGCACGTGACCTAACCTAACCTAAACTAAATTAAAATACATATAAATATATGGAAATAATAATCGCGTGCTCAACAAGTGGGAGCTAYACTATAGAACAGCCAATTTTTTTTGTTGTTGTAAATAACTAATTGAATAAAAAATAAAATAATAATTAATATTGTATTTAACATTTCAGTCACAAAATGGTTGAGTCTATCCAACAAAATTCAATTATCGTCACAAAACCATTTGAAAACTACGGCTCCGGCCAACAGTACGGACAACAACAGTGTAGACACCGATTGTGGCACCAGTTTCGGCAAACGGGTGGCCGCTCCGTTCGGCTTTTGCGAATCCTGTGTTTGTGTGCCGGCCGGCGTTTGGCTACCATTACCGCCTCCTCCTCCTCCTCCTCCACCATCACCACTACCACTATCATCTGCTTCACCGCCTTCGGCGATCAGTATTTTGTCCTCAGGAAGACACGGCAAATACTTTTTACAGTTGTCGGCCGTCGGTCGTAATTTTCGACATAATTCGGCGGTCGGATTGATGTTGGCATCTCTGCACACTTCGTAGGTGTTTTGGTATTGGTTGGCAATCGGATAGATTGTCGTCTTATAGCACTTCATTTGCTGATCAATTGAAAGAGAGAGAGAGAGAGAGAGAGAGAGAGAGAGAGAGAAAAATGGATTATTGGTATTCCCAGTCATTCCCAGGGATTAGCTGTTGTCGACATTCAGTATCGACAACAGCTGATACTTACAAATTTATAGTCAATACAAGTGCTTTCAATGGCCCGACAACAGGTAACATCTGTCATCTCTGTTCGTGTGCTAACCCCAAGCCATTTGTTGTCCAGACATTTGTTGGCCACTTTTCGTTCGGCAAGACAGTCGCTGTCGTCGCCGCCGCCGCCAACAACTCCCGTAGTTTTTATTGCTATACTGATCAGCGATAGGAGAAGATTATGAAGACATATAGTTTGCCGAATAGTTTTCATCAGTGGTTTTGATTGTTTTGTTTCTTTTCTTTTTTTATTATTAATAATTATCACACAAACTAAAGAAATAGTATATGAGTTTTAATTGTTTGTCTTTTAAAATTGAAGATCAATGGTCAAAAAAATTGTGGCAAAAAAATCGTTAACTAATTTTTGAAATTATTTTTTTATTTGTTTGTTGAATCAAATTCTTCACTATTGATATGATTGATATCTCATGACAATTGAATTATTCAATTATTATTAATACAATTAATTGTTATATTTATTTTTTGTTTATAAATCACGCGATAATTTTTTCTTATTAATATCTATATCTATATATATATATATAATGATAATCTGATTCTTCAATAAAAAACAAAATTAATTAATTAAAACCGTTTTTTTCTCAGTTTATAAGTGAATCGAAAATGTCTAACAAATCATCACTGGCTGTCACTCTGGTGTTACCAACAATAATCCTATTGTCATCGGCGGTAGTGTTGTTGGCAGACAATTCATTATCATCATCAGCTGATGATGACGACACTAGTCTGACCACTACTACTACTACTATTATTGCGGCTATCGATGACGGCAACAGTACGGATATTGGCAATAGTACCGACATTGGCAACAGTACCGACATTGGCAACAGTACCGACATTGGCAACATAACTACTACCACTACCACTACGACTACCACCGAAAATCCATTGACAGTGTGTATTAGAGAGATAATGGGTCCAGTTCGTGACTGTGTCAATCACAAGTGGGATGTAGTGGACACAAATAGTTCCGGCGGCGGCGGCTACTTATTATCGCCAATCAAGTGTTGTGGTATGTTGGAAAGAATTTGTGTCGACCATAAATTAGTAAGTGATTTGATTGATATTGTTGTTGATGATGATGATGATGATGGTGGTGGTGGTGGTGGTGGTCATGATGATCATGATGATGATTGATTGATACCCCTATAATTGAATTTCAGGCACTTAAATGTGGGGCTCCGACCAGCAAACCCATTGATGTTGAATACCATGAAGCGTACGAAGAGTGCTCATCAGTGAGCATTACATTGACTGTTGATGGATGTCGTCAAATGTCGACAAATAACATAACCGACGATATTTGTCTCGAGTATATGCCGTGTTTAACCGATATCGTACTAACGCCGGCCCCGACTGGCACTACTACTACTAGTAGTAGTAGTAGTAGTAGCAGTTATCACCCGACAGGCGTACCATCGATTGGTATTCCCACCGATGGTAATACTAATAACAAAACAGATGGACCGATAAATTCAATAGTCCCGGTGCTCACAGATCACTGGTGTTTTGTGTATATTATATATACAACAATATATATGTCTCTTATTATTTAAGTTATTAATTATTTGAATATATATATATTAATTTATATACTGTATATATATTTCAATTATTATATCTGATTAGAGTTTTTATCAATTATTTTTTTGTTGGTATTTTAAAGTGTATTTTTTATATTAAATATTTTTTTTGTTATCTAATCTATTGAGTATAATATGTAAAAAATAGATACAGTGTGTAAATCTAAAGACCGACGATTTAAATGTTGAATAACTTAAAAAGTATAAAAGATATTTTAAACAAATAACGTTTCAAATAATAAGGAATAATTAGGGTTTATGAAAATAAAATTTAATAGGTTCCACCTCCTTCATAAATAAAAATATAGTCCATTTTGTTTACATGTAATTTAGATAAAAATGATAGAAAATAGAAAATCTGACCATGATAAATAATCTAATTTTTTTCTATTTTATTCCTTTTAGTGTCTATAGTGTAAGGAAAGTATACTTTAATTAATTTTTCATACCATCAATTAAAACCAAGACATTTATTAATTTAAAAAATTTAGATATTTTTGTATGTAATTATTGAAAATGTCTCCGCCTCCTTAAAATTTGAGGAGGTAAAATTTATCAAAACTTATTTTCATAAACCCTAATTATTCCTTATTATTTGAAACGTTATTTGTTTAAAATATCTTTTATATTTTTTTAAGTTATTAAACATTTAAATCGTCGGTCTTTAGATTTACACACTGTATATACTGTGTATAATTTATTTAATAAATATTTCCTATATTTATATATCGTATTTACCAAAAAATATATTGAATTATTAAAAAATATGATTTGATTTTTTTTTTAAATAATTCACATAATGTATTGAATATATTAGTTATAAATTCACTCATTTATATATTTTATATATACTGTACTGTATATATGTGTCGTCTAATATATTAAATGATTTTATTTGATGTCTACAACAAAAATATGTTTATTTTTAGTTTTAAATTTTATTTTCAGTAAATTAATTTGCAAATAAAAACTGCTTATTCAATAATTCAATTTCAATATACTCTACAGTAAATGGTTTATAATGAAATAAAAATATTTCTGGAAAAATATGTAATTTTTTTTCATTAATAATTCAGATATAAATTTTTAGATATGAATTGAAAAAGCTTATATTGATATCATATATAAAATCTATTTATATATATATATATATATATATATAAATTTTATTGAACTAAATAAATGAATAAATATTCAAACAATTTTCTATTTATTTTGCATTTAGTCAAACAGTTTTAGTATCATCTGTTATATACATTATTTTTTTTATCACTATATAATATGAAATATCAAAATACAAATTTGTTTTAATAAATATTTATTTTTCTTTAAATCCAAAATATTATAAAAATTTTATATTTTTTTATCTCATATTACAAGTTGTGTGTAAACTAGAGATCTGATTTTATTTTATTTTAGAAAATATAATATATTAACTGATATAATAATATTATCTTAATTATCTTAATAGTATTATAATTGTAAAATTATAATACAAAATGGAAAATATTAATTTCGATTATTAAAAAAAAATTACAATTATAAATGAGTTATTATAAATAATTTTAATATAAACCAATTAATTAAATTTACAACAACAACAACAAAACTAATACTAATACTAATACTACTAACAATAATATTTCTTATTTTTTTTAAGATCACAAGTATTTTAATAATTAAATTATATAATATATTAGTATATATTTAGTAGTTTAATAATAATATAGTTTTGGCTAATTAGCAATAAATAATAATAATTAGTATTATTTTTTTATCAAACATTTAAAATTACTATGATTACTAAATTGTTGAATTACTAAAAATTACTTATAAATTAATATATATAATTTTGTTGTTTTTGTTTTTTATATTATTATTATTAATGACAATATCATCTACTAAAACAATGTGTTCATGTATATTATTATTATTACTGTATATATACCGGTATTTTTTTTGTATAATCTATAAGGAAAGGGTAAAATGTTATATTACTACAATATATTATAGAGGAAAAGCACTGTTAGATAGTTGGCTATTAAAGTTGGGGAAAGAGAGAGAGAGAGAGCACAGTTAGATTTTTCGCATAGACTCACCAAAAAATGGTATAACATTTATGTCATAAAAGCTAAAGTAAAGGCAATTCTACACTTCAGTTGACTCTCAGTTAGTTTAAGGAGTAGTCTGTCTGTAAGTGTGTGTGAGAGTATGTGTTATGTGGTATATCTGAACTGTATATATATATATATAAATATCGGTGCGTTAAACATACAGTTTTCTATACACAATAGTCTAAAGTTATTATACTGTTATATATAAAAGTATTGGCAATGATTCACTTGTATGTGTGTTAAACGCATAACAAGAATATATATTAATAATATACAGAATATTCTTGTCTTATAACTTGTGTGAGACATACAGTATAAAACCATATCTCTTTATCTAACATACCGGTGCGCTATAGATAATATAGCGGTTTATACGATATATATTACATATATTGACATTTAATATTAACTTAAAGATAATATATTACTTTTATTAGCAGTATTATTAGTATTATTGCTGTTGTTATTAGTATTATTATTATTATTATTATTAAATATTTTGTGTTATATATTGATATATATATATATTATATACAGTATTTTCCAATAATATCTCTATATGAGTTATGCAATTATTATTTGTAGTTTATTAACTATTTGATATAATATGATAAAATTATTATTATTAATAATAATAATAACAAATACTGATAAATTATTGTTCAACTGTTCATCAATTATTTAATTAAAAATGTTTTTATATTAATTAAACTAATTACAGTAATGTAATGTATTTAATATTATAAAAATAAAATGACTTAAACCAGATATCATCATCATATACAGTATAGAAGTTGAATATAAAACTATAAATAATTATTACTAAATAATAATAATAATAATAAAATATAATAATAATTAATTATTTTATTAATAACATAACATTACTTAAATTATTATTAAATTTTATCATCCATAATAATCATTGATAAATTATTTAATAATAATAATAAATAATAATAAATAAATATATTATAATATAGTGCATAAACTATAGTAAGTTTATATTATAATAATTTAGTAAATCAGTCTATTATACTATTAATATATATTGTATTATTGATTGATTGGGCACCGGGAGTGTTATTTGAGTGCATTCAATCATCCAATTGATTTAATAAGCTATGGGTGCCATTCAAGGCAAACAATCAGTGCTTAAGGGTGTCATCAAAAATAGTGAACAAATATCAGTAAGTATTTAGTATTTGATTTATATTTGTTATATCAATATATATATCTATATATTTATTTAATATATAATGTTTAATATAATTTTTGAAAAATATTTTTCATGTATAAAATATTTTTTATATGTATATTTTTATTACTGACCTAAATTGTCAATAAATAAACATTAAAAAATTATATATATATTTACTTATTTATTTACACGATAAACAATATATATATATATATTTAAACTATATTGAGTTTAAACTCTATATTGAAACTATAAGCAAGTAACTTTAGAAAATTTTTAATAAATTTCCAAAAGAAAAATTCTAAAAATTATTTTTAAAAAAAAATAAATTTCTATATAAATTATAGTTTTGTTATGATATTATGGGTTTCACATTTAAATTGTCAAAATATTACCAAAATTAATTAATTATAAAAATAAAATTCAAATATTAAGAAAAAAATTATAAAATGTGTAATAATAAAATGCAGTAATTTTTTTTTGTAAATTTGTAAAAATACAAATAATAGTATTTAATTAATTTTAATCATTTTTGAGGTGTATTACAAAAAAAATTAATATTAACAAAATTAATATGGAAATATTTTTTTAGAAACTTTTTAATAATTTACTATATTTTTTACAATATTTTTTTTTTGTTTTTAGTAATTCTAATTCTAATCCCAATTCTAATATTAAGTTATATTTTATTAAAATTCATTATTGATTTTGTTTTTGTTTGTTTGTCAATATCAATATTAATAGCTTTTATTTTTATTTTTGTCTTAACGTTTGTGTGTTTAAATTAAATATTGTATACAATATACTTATCAGTATACAATATACTTACAGTATATTTTATATAAAATAATAATAATAAGCATTATAATGTTTTTTTGTTATTGTGTTTGATATTTTATATTAAATACACTACTATTCAATCTAATATAATCTTATTTATCAATATTTGATTTGATTTTAACATTAGTATTTATTCGTATATTTTAAATATATATATATATATATATATATTGGTGTATTTTAGTAATACTGTAAAGTTGTAATAATGTTATATAATAAATCATTTATATATTTTATTATAATCTCTCTCTCTCTCTCTCTCTCTCTCTCTCTGTATAAATAATTTTATTTGTTTTTATTTTTGTTGTTTATTTTGTCAAATTTTCAAATAATATTAATGTGGGAAGAGAAAATAAAATATTAATAAATATTAATAATTATTAGTTGTTTATATTATTATGTTTATCTAATTATTATACAGTACACTTATATTTTGTCAAATATTGACAAAATAATATTATTGGAAAATAGCATCAAAATATATTAATATATATAAAACAAATTGACAACAAAATGACAAAATTTCAATTTAGAGTCAACTAACAAATGTATTATCAATACAAATATATATACATATAATTGAGTTATATTTATGATAATATATAAAATTATTAATATTTTATTTAAAAAACACTTTTTTTATATATATATATAATTTATATATATTTGATAATATTAAATATCATTGTTAAAAATAGAAATCAATTATCAAGCACGCATATGATTCATAAAATTTTTATTTATCTATTTATAACTATAATATAAATTTGCAGTACAATAAAATATTATTTAGTTATTATTATACTAATTAATTTTTCAATCTAATATTTAGTACATATATATAAAAAAATTTCAAATTATAGAAAAAGCTATTAAGAATTTGTTATTATTATTATTATTTTTTATAATCATAATAATATTTTTTTAATAATAATATTAATTAATAGTAGTAGTAGTAGTAGACATATTTATATTTTTTATAGTATATTTTTAAAAAATGTAATTATAAATTTATTTTATATTTTTTCAATTATAAAATATAATAATTTAAATTTTAAAAAAATTATAGTATTAATAATAAATATTGAATTTGTTATTAATTTTATTTTTAAAAATTATTATTTTTAATCTTATAGTCATTTTTAACTGAACGTCAAAAACAATTGGTCAAAGAAAGCTGGACTATAGTGGCACAGGATTTGGTGGGCACCGGCACATGTGTTTTCAAACGGTATATATAATGCCTATACTAATACATTATATATATATATACATACAATCGTATAACATATATAATAATAACAACAAAAAATACTGTACATTCAATAGATTTATATATAAATTTTCTTTATATAAAGAAGTATTTCATTAATTATGTCCGAGCGGTTTTCTAAATAACTTTTGATCTGGTAGAGATGTTATTTCTGTAAAAAGTTTATAATTTAGTTATTTACGCGTGATAATAACCACTTTTCATTTTTAAATTTAAATCACGTGATCACATTTTTAACGGGATGTTTGCAAACCACTATGTCACAACCTAACCTATAAATGTTAGAATTATTTTTCAATAACATGTTTGTAAAGCTTAAATTGAAAATTTATGGGAAGAAAAAAAATATTGAAATTGGTCGAAGAATAAATTTTTTATGGTTTTTCAAACTTGTGGAAAAACACATTATATAAAATAGTCGAAAATAAAATTATGTTATTTATGGACAGTAGACACTTATTAGATAGAAATTTTAATACTATTGCTTATTATGAAAACAAAATTTTTTTATGTCGAATATTTTTTCAGATAATTAAATTACACTAAAAAACGCAACATTGTAATTCGATAATGTAATTTTTATTTAAATTTGATTATCTAAAAAAATATTCGACATAAAAAAATTTTGTTTTTAGAAAAAGTAATAGTATTAAAATCTTTATCTAATAATTTTCTACTATCCATAAATAACGTCATTTTATTTTCGAATATTTTATATAATGTGTTTTTCCACAAGTTCGAAAAAATATAGAAAATTTATTCTTCGACCAATTTCAAAAAAAAAAATTTTCCCATAAATTATTAATTTAAGCTTTACAAATTTGCTATAAAATTTTTATCCTATCATTTATAGGTTAGGTTTTTACATAGTGGTTTGCAAACATCCCGTTAAAAATGTGATCACGTGATTTAAATTTAAAAATGAAAAGTGGTTATTATCACGCGTAAATAACTAAATTATAAACTTTTTACAGAAATAATTTATCTCTACCAGATCAAAAGTTATTTAGAAAACCGCTCGGACATAATTAATGAAATACTTCTTTATATATATATATATATATATATATATCTAGAAAATTGCTCTCTTTATTAAAGCAGAGGCAAACAAAACAAAACAAAAAAATCTTTTACTTTTATTTTTTTTTATTTATCTTTATAGTAGGTTTAACTAAGACTCTCTCTCTCTTTCTCTCTCTCTCTCTCTCTCTCTCTCTCTCTCTCTTATAACTAATCACTCACTCACTCACTCACTCACTCATTCATTCACTCACACGCTTTTATTTTCATTGATCCTCAATCTTATATGAAAATGTTTGAGTAAAATATTATATATATATATAAATGACATTCACGTTATGATCAAATTGTATATCGAAATAAAAAGCTTTTTTCTTATTCATATAATTCATATATAAGTATTAAACAAATTTAGTTATTTTTTTCTATATCACTAAATAATACTAATAATAATAGAAAGAAATAATAATAATAATAATATTTTATTTTGTTAATGCATCTAATTTTAAAAACCTCATAAGTGTTAATATATTTTTATTCAATTTTATTTTATAATGTATATTTTATCACTTTGGAAATTTTATTATAACAAATTATTTATAATTTTTTTTAAATTTTTTTATCCTAATTGAATAAAATATATTTGAGTTTGAAAATTATTTATATTTTTGACACTATTATGTAAGTAATGTAAGTAAAAAAATAATAAACGAAAAAAAAACTATCAAAATCTAAGATTATTTTGTAATATTAATTATTTTCAAATGTATGAATCAAAATATAAAAAAACAGTAAAACTAATTACCGGTTTTACACTTATTAAAAATAAATTATAAAAATAACAATTAATATAACAATTAAAATATTGAATTTATTAATAGATTTATTTTTTAACATATAATTTATTACAGACGTTGTTATAAATAACTTTTTTTTTGGTTTATGTTTATCTGAATCTATCATTAGTTGGCACCCAATAATAATCACATTATGATTATTATTATTATGACTACAACAATAAATAGCACAAACATAAAAATATGATTATCATTATATTAATAATGGAAATATTAATATATAATATAAGTTGATTACTGTAATAAATTTTTTTAAAAATAGTTTAAATCATAGTCTAATTTGATTTTTTTAAAAATATTAATTTATATACTAATTTTATTTATATTTATATTGACAAAATCAATGTCATATTTAGTTGTAATGATAAACTTTTATGGAAACTTTCTATAAAATAATTATTATTAAAGAATATTCTATAATGAACTTTATTTTTTTTAAGCATGTATGTATAAACTTAGCAATATAACTTATTAATAGATATAATAATTTATACATATAAAAATAATTGTTAGCAACCAACAAAATGACTATACAAATAATCAGTATAACTATTATTGATTTTTTTTTGTTTAATGATAATGATTATCAATATGTGATAAACAAAATAATATTAATAATAATAATACTCCTACAATATGCACGATAAATGATCACTATATGCATACATTTATTGCCAATTTATTATATATTTATATTTATATATATATTCTGTAATAAACTGATATTTCCTACAAATCCTAAATATTAAGCAATCATTTTGTTTTATGTTATGTTTACATCTAACTAAAGTAATTGTTATAATAAATTAAATAAAAATAATTTTGTACCGTATGTTATATATAATACTTACAGTTAGTATAGTACTATTATACAATAAATACATGTACAGTACAATTATTATAGATGTTGTTAACTGTAAATGTGCTAAACTACTATAAAAACATTATTAGTATTATTATTATTATTATCGTATGTAAAGTACTTTACTTTACAATATCTAACTATACAGTTATTTATTGTACTGAATATATATATAAATTTATTTTAATCTACTTTAAAGTCAATCGACTTTTTTTTATTTCTTTTTATAACAACAAGTCATTTGTAATTCAAATATATCTATATATTTGTTGTTGATTTGCTCACTAATCATCAATTGAGTAAAAACTAAAACTTAACTAAATTTACTATTTATTTAATCTGTACTTTTACTATGTATGTGTGTGTATGTGTGTGTGTATGTGTATGTGTGTGTATGTGTGTGTATGTGTGTGTGTATGTGTGTGTATGTGTGTGTATGTGTGTGTATGTGTGTGTATGTGTATGTGTATGTGTGTGTATGTGTGTGTATGTGTGTGTATGTGTGTGTATGTGTGTGTATGTGTGTGTATGTGTGTGTGTATGTGTGTTTGTATGTGTGTGTGTATGTGTGTGTATGTATGTGTGTGTGTGTGTGTGTGTATGTGTGTGTATGTATGTTTATGTGTGTGTATGTGTGGTTTTTAAAAAATCAACTATTATATAACTATGTTATATTCATTATAATATATTAAAAATTTATAACTTGAAGTAATAAACTTTAAAAACTTTGCAATTAAATATTATAAACTTATTATAATTAATAGGTCATTATTATAATATCTATTACCTATTATTATTAAGTTATTTTCAAATTCAAATTACTATTTGTTAAAATATTATTATTATTATTAGTTTTGAATAGATTATAATCATTAGCAAACAACAACATAACTCCAAATTTACAGATAAAAAAACATTTCATTAAATTTTTCCAATAATATAAATCAAGTGAAGTAATGATAAATAGACTGACTATACATTAGTTCAGTATATTATAAATAATAACATATTAGTAAAAAATAAATGTTTAGTTAAAATCATCATTAAATATCAGTATTATTATTATTATTATTATTTGATGATAATCTTACTATTGGTCTACTATTAGTCTATAATAATAATAATAATACTATACAATAGTTAATATATTTGTTTAACATATGAATAGTATAATACATATATTTTTTTTCTCTTTACGATAATATATTAATAGTAAAATGCATAATATTATTAATACAGTATAATATTACATTATCATTGAGTTTATTTTTTGATGTTAAAATAATGATTTTTATTTTCTTGTTGTTTTAAATGCATATTTTGCTTACGGTGTATAATACAGTATTTTAAGATATAATTTATAGTATTAATAGTTATTACAACTATTTTTTTGTATAATACAGTACATTATTTTGAATATATACTGTAAAATACTTTACTGATATATATATATATACAGTATGTTATACATATATATATACAGTATGTAAAATATTTAGTTTTTATCAAAATAAAATTTTACATTATATTTAGCATTTTTTCCCAGTAGACTTAATTAACAAATATATATATATAATATATACATTTATTTATTAATTTCTATATATAAATTATATATATGCTTAAATGTATTTTTTTGTTATTAAATATTAGGCTAACATTATTAGCAATGAATTATCGTTTTTATAAATAAAATGATTTATACTGTAGATATATAAATAAAATATTTATTTATTTTTAAATATAAGAATTATTATTATTATGTTTATTAAAAAATTTTATATAAATATACTAATAAGTAATAAAATTAATTATTAAGTAAAAATAAGATTAAAAATATTTAAATTTTAAAAAATATATATATTTCCAACTTTATAATCAAATAGAAAATATAATTTAATTTCATAATCGTGATAATATTTTTTAATAAAAAAATTTACTAGTAGCTTATTATAAATAAAATTTTCAAGTTACTTTATTAAATCTAATAGATTAATGTCTTATGTTATTATAATAATTATTATTATAATGATAACAATCTCATTGTTTTAAACAATATTTTCAAATATATTATATTATACATAATTATTAAACTAAACTAAATGCTAAAATCTAGTGTCTAATGTTTTCTAAACTATTAAAAATAATAAAATTACATATTATTATTATAATAATATTATGGATTAACTAATATTAATAAACACATAAATCATCTCTCA